CAGCCTGAACATGGAAGTCTCCTGGCTCCATCTTCACAGACACACACGCGTATAAAACTGTATTTATTACCCAACATCCCTCTCTTGGGTCCTCTACCCCCTGTGCCTAGCCCAGGGTTCGAGAGGGTTATGTCATGGGAATCTAGCCCTGTGTGTATGACACTGCAGTCAGTCTGATCATGGGTGGACGCATATGGCCTGTACGTGTCTCATGTATGTTTATGTTTCAGATCTAACTTCCACACAGGAGAAAAAAATAGGCATCCCTTTGTCTCCTTGACCCTGCCTCACTTCACTCAGTATGAGTTCTTCCAGATCTATCCACTTCCCTGAAAATAATGCACTACTCTTCCTAATGAATGCCCAAAATTCAATTTCATGAGTGTGTGTGTGTGTGTGTGTGTGTGTGCACGTGCGTGCGCACAGGCATGTGTCTCATATTTTCTTGATCCACGTATCCGCTGAAGGGCATCTGAGATATTCCCATGACTAGGCTACGGCAAATGCAAAGGTCTTTACTGTATCTTCACTTGTCAGGTTTTGGGTAAGTGCCCAAGAGTGGTATCAAGCCATGGATTTTTGTTAAGTGAAAAATTTAGTCTAAAGTATATGAAATGAGGCTAGAAAAGCCCAGAATATATGGCATGAATACAGATACAAATTTTTCATAAACTATTTTCCAGATTCATATATGCAACAAATACACGCACAGATACACACAGAAAAAAGTACATACTCAGACACACGAGCAACAAGTGTGTATACACATAACACAGAGGCACCCACAACCCACACCTGCTCATAGCCCACATGTACACACACAGGCACACACGACGGTACAAATACATGCAGGTAACACGCAAACTCACATACACAGGACATGTGCCTGATGGGTTGGAATCCATTTATTCCTGTGGCCTACAGTCAAAGTTCCCTTCTATAGAAAATTCTGGAATTCTCAGTCCCAGAGAGAACAAGAAAGTGTGCACAAGTTGTGCGTAGAAGGGTCTGTCCAGGGCCACAAGTTGTGCGTAGAAGGGTCTGTCCAGGGCCACCCCAGGGAGAAGGAACAAATATCCATGGAAGTGGCTTCGGTGACCGTGACGGCAGCGTCCCCATCACGCCGACCTCGCGTCTGTGGCAGGCCAGGAAGGGCTGAGCACAGAACCCTGCCTGACACAGCGGAGCCATCACCAGAGCCTTTCCTCCAAGAAAGCGTGTGACCACTCCGAGTGCGGGCTCCCTCCCCTGGACGAACGAGATCTCTGGGAAACGTCCCTCCCTGCTTTAGGCACATTCCCAGCAAACAGGCAGTGATGGGAAGCTGCACAGGGCACGTGAACAACGGCTTTCCAGGGCAAAGCGCCCACGCAGAGTGCTTGTCCATCAACAAGGTGGGAGCGTTACCGTCCCAAGGGAGCCCAGGTGGAGGGAGGCAGCGGGCAGGAGGATGGGCTTCACCACTTCTGAGGGAACAAAGGCAACAAGGGGCATGGGGAGGCCTAGCAAGCTGGAGAGGCCCAGCGAGCATTCAGGAGCACCAAGAGGGCGCGCCATCAGCTGAGGCCTGAGGGTGGTGAGCAACCTCAGTTAAGGTAAATGCCATGGGGGGTTTAAAGGATCTGCGTGAAGTTATAGGGCATTGTGGAGACTGTGCTGATTTCTCCCAACAGAACCATGAACTGCACTTTCACTTCTGGGTATGTAGGGAAGAGGATAGAAGGCGGGATCTTAAAGAAAGATCTGCCTGCCAGTGTCCGTAGCAGGACAATAGCTGAAACTCAGATGCCAACCAAGTGTCCAGCAACCAATAAATACATACACAACACCATGACTAGCGTATATGTTAGGACAGAATATTATTCAGCCTTCAAAAAGGTGACTACAGGTTGAACAGCTGAGGCACTGTGCAAAGTGAAATTAGCCAGTCATGAGAACACAGATGTTCTGTGACTGCACATCCATGAGCTTCAAATTCACAGCGCCAGAAAAGGAAACAGTGGTTTTCAGGGGTGGGGAGAGGGGGAACACCACTGTTGCTGAGTAGGTACGCAGTGACAGTCTGTGAGCATGAGGAAGTACTCTGGAGACTGACGGTGGTGGATATGCTTAGGATCCCTGAACCGTACACTTCTGAGGGGAAGCTGCAGCAGGGAGACGGGGCGGTCGGTGAGAAGCACTGAAATACACAGTGTCTGTTTCCAGAAACTCCCTGGATCACAGCAGTAGCCTGGGGACCAGAGGTGACACGGGGTGGCCGCATTGGGTAGAAGGAGGAAGGGAGACGGCGTGCACACTTGCTGTAGCTTCTCCCGTGATCTGTGCGCGTCCATCTTCTCACTAAAACTAACTGCCCTGGTGCAAGTCTGCCAAGGAGTCACGCGGGAGAGACGCTGAGAACAGCTCCCCCCAGAGCACCACTGCCTGAACCCCCCCCCAGCTCTCTACAGAGGCTCAACCCCACAGCCAGGTGACCCTGTGACCTGGGGGTGGGCAGAGGGCGTGTCTTTGAGAAGGGAGCTCACACCAGAAAATGTGGGCTGGTCACCAGGAACAGCGCTGTGAGGGCTGGGCGGTGGAGGGGGTGGGGGGGCGGCGGGCAGCTGGCCTCTGGGCCCCACAGACAGAGGCAGCCTATGGGGTATCCTTTCCCCGGGAAATGGCGCAGCATGGAAATGACTTTCCCTACAAAAAACACTCCAACTGGCTTTCCATTTCAACCCAACGAAACTGGGAGAGCCAACACAGCCCACAAACCCGGGACCCAGGACATGATCTCATATTTCCCACAGGAAAGGCCAGTGAGAGGACGTGACACAATGCTGAGTTGGCAGGGAGGGAGGCAGCCTGTCAATCAAACCCCCAGGCACCTGCACCTGGGAGGCACGTGCAGTCCATCCCTCCCCCTCCCCCACCCACCCAACCCCCACCCCCACCCCACCCCGCTGCGCAGGGACGTCACACATCTTGTTCGTGCCTCACCAAAAAAAAAGTTTGAAACAAAACCAATTTTTTAAAAATCTCAGCAGCCTCCACTCACTAAATGATTTCATTCCCAAGGATGCAGGCAGACACAAGTCAAGCCCAATCAAATTGAATAATGTAAGTATATATTTAGCAATCTAAAATTACTTCTGGGCACAAAACTTCCTCCAATTTCCATCTATTCTTATGTGATGTGCGTCTGCTTTGTGACGTGTGTGTTTCTAAAATGCCACTGGATTAGTAGTAAAATGTTACACGACAAGGCTAATTTTAACCTTGGAATGACACGGCAGTTTTAGGCAACATCAAGTTGCCAAAATAACTAACCTAAAACTTCAAAAGATGTACTGTGTGCCTTTCTGCATAGAGCACATGTTTTCAGAGGTGACTCAGACAAAGATCAAGAAATTATGGTGGACAAAAGGGAAGTTATGACTTTACCCATGTTCAATCAGACTTGGTCCCTTTTAAATCAGGAAATACTTCTAAGCGTACGTACATGCACACAAACAAACATGCACACACACAAACATGAACATGCATATGCTTGTGTGTGCACATGCCTGTGAGCACATACACACTCTTTTCTGCTGTCTATATTATGTTTTAAGACTTTTTTATTATAAAGATACTGTACAGAAAGGATCCAGTTATATGAGCAATGAGTACATTTCCTAGCATTATACCCTCTCCTTTGTTTTTCCCCTACCATCTCTTCCCTTCCCACCTCCCAACTCTTCCCCGCCAGCCCAAAGTTGTAAAGTTCGTTTTCAACATAGTGTCTTGTACATCTCATTGTTACAATGGGTCAACCTGTATCCTTGTTTCAGCATTTTGTTATTCCCCTTCCCCTCCCCAAATTGGAAAAATGTATATACAAGATGCAGGGCACCGGACTCAAATACAGTGACAACAGGGGTTATACCATAGGGGGAAGAACGTACAAAAGAAAAGTTCAGAACACAGAACAACACAGCAAAGCAGGAAGTCCCCCAGATGGCTTAAGACAAGAGTCCTAAGAGTATTTTCTGAAAATATATATTAAGAGAACACTAGAAGAAGGAAGTAAAAGGATGGTGCCACCTCCCTGCAGAGCGAGCGAAAGCCACAGCCAAGCGCTGGGAAGATGCGTGCTCTTCGAAGGAAGAGTCACGGTGCAAGCTGCAAATTGTGCAGCTTTTCCTTTAGTATACCAGCCCACAAAAATCACAGAACTGGACGTCCAAGCGTGAGTGCTGCTCCTCCTCCGGCCTCTACACCCCTGCTTCCTGGCTACCCACTCACCAGGGAGTGCCCAAGCACAGACAACGGGGCCGGAGGAGAGACCCGGAGCCGATGCGGGACAAGGACGGTGAGCGCTGGCGCCCTGCTCTTCCACACCGGTGACGATGTCGCAGCACAGGATGCAACACCACAGCGGGACCACAACCTGGGGCTGCCTGGTGCCCGCCTCTCCACCCACCCCACTGCCCAGCACCCCACACACCAGGACACCCAGACTAGTTAGGCCGACAACCTGCCTCTCACCAATTGCCCCTCATGACAAAAGTAGGTTCAGAATCTCCCTTTATGAGAGAAGAAGACATAACCAAAAGACATATTTAAGCACACCTCAGGAGAAAGAATAGAATTCCAAGCCGGGAGGAGCCAGTGGCTCGCTCTTACAGTTCTAGCTTGTATGAGGAACAGGGTTCAAAGCCAGCCAGGGCAGAAAGGTCCGTGAGACTCTAATCTCCAACTAACAATCCAAAAGCCAGAGGTACAAGCATGGCTCGAGTGGCTGAAGCCTAGCTTTGAGTGAAACAGCTAAGGAACAACACGGCCCCGCCCTGAGTTCCAGCCCCAGAACCGACACACACAAAAGAAAAGGCAGAATTCACAGTGGCAGGCAGTGCACGGCCACAGCCCACGCCGGGCTTCCTCCTCCCACTGCAATGCTCAGAGCGCAGCCCCCAGGCCCAGCCGCACAGAGAGCCCTCATCCCAGCCGCTGGTCCGAGCACGGAGGGCACCTACCTTCACCCTGACCGTCTGGTCAGACATACTGCTCATCATGTCATTGATGGACCGGAAGAGCTGCAGCAAGGACTCCACGAAGTCAGCCTCCCCTTTGTCCTCATACAGCCTGCAAAGAAACACAGGAGACTGTGGGGTCTGCAGAGCCGGACATTGCACTGGATGCCCTCAAGGGAGCAGAACGGGGTCAGGGGGAGACACAGACAGGAGCCACTGCCCCGGCATCAGGGGAGCAACGCAATTCGACCTGCCCAACAGGCAGGAGGCACGGGGGCCTGGCCCAAGTGGACTCCATATGAAGAACCAGGCCCAGTGACAGCACCAACTGCTGCAGTCCCTGAAACACGGCACATTCACGCAGGGAAGGATGGAAGGAGCAGGGCAGAAGGAAGGGGAAATGAAGAAATTCAACCAGAATGCTGCCCCACAGAAATCATTACCAATAAATCTGTGCATTTTCTGCCAGTATCGTGAAACTCGTAATGTGGTATAATCACCAACCATGAGGACCCTTAACTGGCTACATTTAACATGATCTTATAACCATTTGAAAACGAGGTTATAATGGTAAATTCAACATGACTTTATTTCAGAGTAACAATGCTCCATCAATGCAGTGGTAGGGCCAATGGTAGCTGAAGAATCTTCATGAGTGACCACATGTTCACTGAATGGATAATAGGAATCTGTACATCTGGCTCTATATATGCTAATATATGCTGCTAATTGTAAATAACCTTCATTTATAAATTATTTATTCACAGCTACTTCAAGTCCAATTACATTTTAAAATGCTGCAACTCAAATGCTTTATTAATACAGACTAGTTTTCTAGACATTATGAAAAGTACAGCCTACCTGAAACCTTGTGCACAATGAAAGGTCTGAAAACTGAGTGATAATTAATTACCCTATAGGAAACCGTACGTTTAAATCAGCTCTACTGTAAAGCCAGGAGTTCTGCATAAATAGGTAAATTCTAGCCTAGTATAACGGTTCTGCAAAAAGAGATTTCTAAATACCAGTTTGCATAAATGATGTACCCAACAGTTCAAATGGCGCTCGGGAGCCTGCACAAGGCTGAGGCACAAGGGGGCATCTGCCCTTCTTCCCGCACACTCATGTGTTTCTGGATCCACATGATACACAAGACCAAAATCCAAAACAGAATTCTCTAGAAGGCAGAGTGGGAGCATCATCAGCCTCTGGAGGAAATGACTTTGAATTCGGGAAACAGCAAGAAGAGGAGTGCCAGATAACACAGCAGACTGTCAGATGGAGGAGCTGGAGACCCTGAGCACGCCAAATGCAGAGCACAGCTCACCAGGGCCACAGGACAATCCTGTCTGACGACAGTCACATGCTCATACCACGCTCAAGCCCAAAGGAAGGCGGAGAAGTCACCTCTGCAAAGAGGTGCCACAGACTAGAGCTACTATACGGCTTTCTAACCACAGTCCAGCCATCAAATAAAACTCACCAGACCCAGCAAAAGACTACACCATGTGGCCAAGTCCAAGAGAAAAAGATCACAATTGAAACAGACCTTCAGGTGATCAAGACACGACAGTCAGCTCAAAGAACATCAAAATAACTGGAATTATATTTTATAGTTCTATTTATATTTTAGAATAAAAAGATGGAAAGAACAGAAAGGGGGCCATTTGAGCAGGGAAATGTATCTGTTAAAAAAAACTATCGGATGGAAATTCTAGAACTAAAACATGCAATACCTAAATTACAAATTAACTTAAGACACAAGAGACAGAAATAGTGAAATGCAAAAAAACTCAACAGAAAAACAGGAGAAAAAAGAAGAGAAAAATTCTAAAAAGAACTTGAACTACAAAGGCTCAATGAAGAGACCCAAAGAAGATGAATGGAGGCATCAGAAGAACAAGAGGGAAGACAACCAACGAGGCAGATGAACCATGGGAGACCCAGTGACCCTGAACTGCCCAACCCTCACAGAGGATGTCAATCAAGCAGTCAAGAATTCTAAGTAGGAAAACATAAAGCATCTACAGCAGAACATAACAAGATTCAAAGAAACGCCAAGAGGAACTGTAAAAGCAGCTAGAAGAAAAAACAAAGTATAATTTACCTTCCACAACATAACAGTAAGTCTGAAAGTGGACTTCTCAACAAAAATGACAGAAACCAAAAGAAAATAGAGTAACACCTGCAGGAAGAAAATAACCGCCAATCCAGAATGCTGTATTAAAAGAAAATATCCTTCAAATACAAAGGCGAAATAGATCATTTTCATACAAACAACACCAGTAGCTGACTTCCACTAAAAGAAATTCTACAGAGAATTCTTTTGACAGAAGGAAAATGATTCCCAAGAGAAACATGGAATTGAAGGAAGGATGGAAAGCAATCATAAATAGAAAATGAATGCTGACTACACAATAGTAATGTCTGATAGCATCTTAAAACATATGTGGAATTAATATGCAGGACAAGAGCAACACAAAAGAAGGGAAAGAAAAGGGAGCTCAAAAGTTCTGTTTATCTAGCTATATGGAACATTCTCAGGCAAGCACCAATGATTGATCTGAGTAACCAGCTAAGCCCATGATGCATGCTTTAATCTGTGATAATTATGACATGTTAAGCGTAAATGGAATGAGAAAAAGAAGGGTTTGGTTACTAAAGAAGGGAGGGAAAAGAAGGAAAAGAATAAACTTTAAATGGCTAAATGAGAAAAACGATCATTACAAATCTGTGGGGGACAAAAATCAATTGTAATGCATAAAAACAATATGGCTTCTGTCAATGCTATCCAAATCAAGCCAGGAGCTTAGGAAGGAAGCTTCTTACCCTGCCTGGAAAATTGAAAGGCTCTGTCAGAAACTTGAGTAGGGCCGGGCGCTGGTGGCTCACGCCTGTAATCCTAGCTACTCAGGAGACTGAGGATCGAGGTTCAAAGCCAGCCCAGGCAGGGAAGTCCATGAGACTCTTATCTCCAATAAACCACTAGAAAACTGGAAGTGGCACTATGGCTCAAGCGGTAGTGCGCTCGCCTTGAGCTGAAGAGTGCAAGAACAGCGCCCAAGCCCAGAGTTCAAGCCCCATGACCGACAGAAAGAAAGAGAGAGAGAGAGAGAGAGAAAGGAAGGAAGGAAGAGAAAGAAAGAAAGAAAGAAAGAAAGAAAGAAAGAAAGAAAGAAAGAAAGAAAGAAAGAAAGAAAGAAACTCGAGCAGCTACTGAAGAAACCACAAGCCAGAAAGTACTCTGAGGCCTGGTGAGGCATTACATACCTGGGTCCCAGCTACTCAGAAGTAGAGACAGTTGGACTGCAGATTGGGAACAACGTGAACAAAGTTAAAGACATTCTGTCTGACAAACAAGCTAAAATTACAAAGGTGTAGGGGCATAGCAAGCAAGTCCTGATTTCCATCCTCAGTAATGCCAAAAAATGGGGCTGGGAGCCAGACACCAGTGGCTCAATGCTAGGTCATCAGGAAGCTGAGATGTGAGGACTGTGTGGTTGAAAGTCAGCCCAGGAAGGAAAGACTGAGACTCTTGGTTCCAATTAACCAGCAAAAAGCAGGAAATTTACCCGTGGCTCAAGTGGTAGAGCAACAGCCTTGAGGGATAAAGCTAAGGGACAGTGCTTAGGTCCCAGTATTGATGTGGGGGAGAGAGACACATATCAGCACACCTTCATCTGTCTGCTCAGCTGCAGATGCCTGACGCTCCTCTTCCTAACCACTGAGACCCAGCACCGACATGTGACATCGCTGATGGGATCCTGCTATTTGTGTCCTTAAAAGCTCCCTCTTGGGGCTGGGAAGGTGGCTCACTGGTAGAGTGCTTGCCTCACATGCTTGAGGAGGCCCTGGGTTCGATTCCTCAGCTCAACATAAACAGAAGAAAAATATAAAAGCCGGAGCAGCACTGTGGTTCAAGTGATAGAGCGCTAGCCCTGAGCTGAAGCCCTGAGAGACAGCACCCAGGCCCAGAGGTCAAGCCCCATGACCAACAAAAAACAAACAAACAAACAAACAAAAAACCCTCCCTCTTGCTTCAACCTTAGTTTGCCAAGGCACGTGTTCCCAACTGCAGTGCTATTTTCAAAAAGTTTCATTACTCTCTGGAGAATCTCTGAATTATTTTTCCATTTAAGTTGACACCGACTATGAGGGAGTCCTGTTACAAGACCACCTTGAGAGCAAGCAGGACCCAGAATGGCAGCCTCATTGAGCCTTGAGCCCTCTGTTCCCTCGGTGACAAGAAGCCGCCTCTCAGGTAGTCTCCAGGCTGAGTCTGGAATGTACTGGAAGGCGGCCTTCCTTAAGCAGGAAGGCAGACTCATTAAAGCCACTATTCTGGGTGTATACCCCCCACTACAACTCTCTTTTGGCAGATGCTGTCTGCATTCTCAGGGCTGAGTTTGGAACGTTTTGGCTTTCTGAGAACCTTAGCAGGGTCAATCTGCAGAGCTGACATCAAGCCCGTGGAGGTAAGCAGCCCTGGAGGTACAGGGACACTCTGGTGAGCTCCCGCCCCTCTCTGCGGGTTTGCTACAGATTTTTCGGTGCTTTATCACACAACCGAGCTCATGGTAATATCTTGAGGGTTATGGTTTCGTGTCTGTTTCCCTTTCCTGGTAAGTTCACTTTGAATTCTGAGAGCTTCACAATGTTTTTCTTTGATCTACATGTCGAATTTAAAACTTAGTATGAACACCATACAGATAACTCTTATAATTGCAGGATTAATATGTAAATGGACTTTCTGCTCTATTTTCGTTTTCTTTCTTTCTAATTTGCTGACCTTTTAACTTGTAGTAAGGTAATTTTGTCATCTACAAGGTATTTGAAAGTTTGTTATTTCACAAAAGCATGACTTTTAAATAAATGAGGCAAGCCAGGGGGCAGCGGCCATGCCTGCAATCCTAGTTACTGAGGAGGCTGAGACCTGAAGCCTCAGGCTCAATGCCAGCACAGTCAGAAAAGTCTGTGAGACATCATCTCCAAAATAACTAGTAATACTGTCTTTTCCTTTTTTAAGCTTTATGGCTTTTGTCTGTTAAAATTCTACATTAGTAACTCCTAATAAAATAATGTAGCCCAGAGATCATACCCATTTCCTGCAGAACAGGTAAAATGAGACTTAACAACCATAGGTACTTTGAGAGCCATTCCTGCTAAGCCTCTGTTATACAAATGCAAGTAAGAGGATTTTGACACTAACTCCTAGTCACTAATCACTTCAGCCCCTGACAAGTGAGACCAGACAAGCAACTAAGAGTGAGACCAGACAAGCAACTAAGACGTTCCTCTCAGTAGCAAAACAATCCAATACTAACAAGTAGCCCATTCATCATGTTATCAGAGAAATGTGAAAGACTTAACAAGTATAAATCTGTAGGCCTATAATAACTGCTTTAAAAGCTACAAAACATAGGTAATGAGCCTTTGATATAGTTATAATTCTACCATGAACCTGTCAAGGATGAAAATTAAATAGTTTCTCTGTTGCCAACCAGTATGTTCAGACACATAATTAATTAGCATTTCACAGTGGTCCTTTCAGTCATCTTTCCAAAATGTAAGACGACCGCTGATGAAGTATCTAGAGGTTTAAGTCTTCATTTTTATCAAATTAACCAAGAAAGGTCATCTGTCTGACCTACTTTGAAGTGAAAAAAGGGATTGAAAACTCAAAAGACCTATGGACAGATGATTAAGACCTCTTCATTCCTTGTTCTACTCTCAATAAATATTCATTATCAACAAATAATAGGATCTTTGTCTATTAACTACATCCTATTTTGTGACCTTATAGAATGACAGCAAAAAGATAGATCAGTGTAACTTATCAATAATAAACAACTAATTATTTGCAATGCTAACACTAGATGACAGGCAAAAATTACAAAGCCTGAGAAGGACAGCAGAGGAGCCAAGTGATAACCAGGCTTAGTCATTTGGTTCAGAAGAAGGTCTGATATGGGATGCGTCTATCTGTTTTCCGGCTTTCTGGCTAATGCAGTCCACCCACACAGAAAGCACAAACAAAAACCAGCAGAGAAGCGCCTCTGGCTGCCAGGATCTTTCATGGCTCCCTGTGAACTAAATGTCTTTGGGCCAGAGCTTTTAAACTGCTGTTCTCATTTCAAGACAAAATGAGCTTTCTAAACAAAACAAAAAAGTATGGAATTGCATAGCAAGAAAGATGGTAAGATAAGTAGAATAAGGTTCTGCATCTTCATCTTCCAGTTTCACCCTTTGGTTCTTGGGGAGAATAAATACTGTCAATTACCCTGGAATTTAACAAAACGAGTGCATTATACGAACCCACAGAAGACCATTTGGAAAAGAAGAAGGAAAATAATAGATCTCCAAAGTTGGTTCCAACTGCAAAAAGAAAAACACACTTGTCAATTCCAGCGGTGAACACAATTGTTTTTCTCCCAAGGTAATAAATGTGTTGCAGGTAAGAAAATGAGAGCCTGGTTTGTTTCCTTCCCTTTCTGGCCTCTGCAAACCGCTCCCCCCACCCCCCCACCAGACCTGCACCAGACCCACTTAGGGCTGCCTGTGATTCAGTATTCTAGACAGCCTGCATGGACCACCAGACCGCTGCCGCTTTAAGAGGCTGACTCAGAACAGGAAGAAAATTGGGCTTACAATCAGGTGAATGTCTCATTAGGACACGAGAGAAAGGAAGGGAAGTAAAAAGGCTTCAAACCTACTGCCAATGCTTTTAGGATCATGAGCTTTTTCTGCCTCCTCTATAATCTGTCAGATACTAAAACATTTTCTTAACACCATTAATTCGGAGACTTAAATTAAGGAGCGCTTATCATACCCACAAAATGTGGCTACAACTGCATTCTTCATCTCAAAAGAGATGTTTGTTTGTCCCTTCCCTCGGGAATCCTAGTCGACGGCCAAAATCTACATTAAAGATACATTCAGAGGGAAAAAGAAACACCATAAAACTATCACAGTCTGGCTTATAGACAGGACACATAAGTTCATTAGGAATGTATGGAAGAAAGAAGGGTCAAAGGAGAGAGAGAAAAGAGGAAAGGAAGAACAGTAGAAGAGAGAGGGAGGAGGGGAGCCAGAGGGGAGCAAAAGGGGGAGAAGAGAGGAGAAAAGGAAGAAAATGGAGGAAAGAATGAGGGAGGGCTGTGACTATCAATGCACTATGATCTCCAGGTCAGCTAATAAGGTTAAGGATGGGGATCCAGGGCCATAGGAGCAACTGGACACCTCATACCTTATAGAGATTGGTGATATTCTGTGTCCTAGACAGTTTCAGCAATTTTGACAAGTTATCCCGGCTAAGAAACTCAGGTTCTATTATGTCCAAAAGGGGAGAGAAGCAGGCTGTAGGATCAACCATGATCTGTGACCAGTACAGAAAAGAAGGCCTACCTGATCACTGAAACACAGAGTACTTCCTGAGTCACAAGGTATTACTGAACACATACAGAGTAGTTCCTGGGTCAAGGATGACCCTCCACTGAGTATTTAGCCTCGTTTCTATGTAATTCCTGGGGAATAATAATTTTTTTGACTTGGGGCTACAATTTTAAATAAAAAAAATTTAAATCAGAGAGACACAGGTGACAACGGTTGTAGACACTAACATCAAACTAAAGGGACACAAAAGTTTTGCCCATCTGACTTGAGGATTAATAATCTGAAATAAAATAAGGAAATTCCAAATTATTAAGCAACAGACAGACATTTTCTGGGTTATAGACATGATGAGGAAAAGTTGGAATGTCACCCAATTATCTCACTGGAACACTAAAACTGCTTTCCATGGGAGAGCTTGTTTAGCCCTCAGCCTCTCCTCTGCCATCTTTCCATTTTCTCTCCCAGAAACTGTGACAGACTCTTCTTCAACTCCCTTCCACGAGGGGGACACAGAGGGTGAATAATTTTGGAATACATTGCAGCTACACATGAAGACAACATAATGAGTCTCAGTGAAAACTGGTGATCAACAGGGGATTAAAGGACCAAGGAAAGAGAAAGCAACAGGGAGAGTTATTCAGAGCAAAACACAATATATGCATGTCATAAATACTATGGTGAAACCCTGTGGTCAATTTTAATACACACTAAAAAAAAAAAGAATGACAGGAAAGTAAAATAAGCTCTGTTAGGGGTGGGGTGTGGCCAGAGGCACAGGAATGACAAATGAGGAAGCCTATGAATGAAGAAGCTTGTTTGCATGTATGAACAGAACAATGAAAACTGTTGAAACTGTTTTAAGAAGGGCAGGGCGGTGAGGGCAAGTGACTGCAGAGGACAATGATTTTGATACCTTTCTGTGGACATGTCACAATACCACCCCTCCACTCTTGTATAACGAATGCAAGTGAGTAAAAAAGCAACTACAATCCTTCCTGCCTCCCTTGCAGCTAGAGTAGTCACATGACATCATTCTGCCAAGGTAAAGAAAGCATAGAGTACTTGAAGGAATAGCAGAGATCACTGCCAGGGAGAAGAGCAGACAGGGCAGTGTCCCCCTTTGCCCTTTCCTCTCTTCTGCTTCAAGTACGAATGTAAGACACAACAGCCACTTCGGGAACATGAGACAATGGAAGACAATAAGTTTCTCTTCCTTGTGGGCCCTCCTAGACCTACGCGGAAAATAAACTTACGAGGAAATAGGGAGGTTCTGATCCGAGCCATGCAGGTTCAGTGTCCAGCTTCCACTGAGAAGGTCTTGAGTACCACACCATTTTTTGTTGTTTGAATTTTTTGCCAGTCCTAAGACTTGAACTCAGGGCCTGAGCACTGTCTCTGAACTTTTGTGCTCAAGACTAGCATGCTACCACTTGAGCCATAGCTCCACTTCTGTCTTTTTGGTGTTTAATTAGAGACAAGAGTTTCAAGGACTTTTCTGCTCTGGCTGACTTCAAACTACAATCCTCAGATCTCAGCCTCCTGAGTAACTAGGACGCCAGGTGTGGGCAACAGGTATCAGGCTGAGTACTGCACTGTTTAAAGGTGAACATGAGATCTGTGATGTAGAGGAACTCTCGGGGGAACTCACCATAGCAAAGCCATCAATTGAGAATTGAGAATAACCACAGACACTAACAGGTGCATGGTAAATTACCCACAAAATAGCCAACCCTCCCGCCCACCCAAAGTAAGAGCAAGTCCAATGCCACTCTCCATCCAGTGAAATAATGTAAGCCAACAGAAGGTTCTTTTATTTAAGCCACGTGGCTCTTACTATTATAAATATTAATATGCAAGATATTCGTTCTCTATAAATTAATGAAGTCATAAATACCCCCAATTTACTTTAAAGCTTGAAAATAATCCCTAAACTGATGCAGAGTGATTAAGAGATGCCAGGAAGCCAAAGCATGGAGGACAGAAGCTGAGCTGTGCTGGCTGGAATCAGACTCAGGTGGAAGGCGGCAAGGGGAAAGCCCCTGTGTCTCCCCCAAGTAAAGCAATTTCACTTGATTTGGGCTTTGTGTTGTTTCTGCTTGCTTCATTTCTGCTAGTTTTTTTGGGTGTTTTGCTATATGAAGACATACTACAGAGTGCTCAGAGCTGTAATGGACGTCCGACACTACGTGGGAGGCATGCCTAAGCTGTGGCAGACAGCATCTGGCTAGAAGGCAAACACCCCAGCCCTAGTAGCACACAATCTCAGCAGGGCCAGCCTTTGACAGCACAAGGCCAGGATAGGGTCACCGGGCAATGCCACCGCAGTCCTTGATCAACAGGTGCTGTGTCACAGGAGATACCAAGTAGGAAGGAAGAAAAGGAATAGAAGATGGCAGAGCAGGGGAGAGGAGGAAGAAAAGGAGGAAAGGCTTCTCACAGGATTTCCTATGAGCATACTTACTGATTGAACAGGATCCTGGAGCGCACGATGAACTTGAAGATGTACTCCAATGCCTTCATGGCTTTGTACAGCTGTTCGTTGATACCAGGCTTCTCTGCACCATCCACATAGGTCCTTAGTACCTTCGTCAGCTTCCTGTTTGTGATGGAGGCCCAGGCCAAGGGTAAGTGTGGGAAATGACCACATCTGGAATCTTCACTAAGATGTCCACAGCATAGGAGTCTCCCCCTGCCACCCTTCAGGTTATCCCTGGATATCTAATAATTTTTGATAATTCAGTAAACTGTACTACCCTTAAATTTCATAGACCATCACAGACCCCGCCCCCACCATTCTTCGTACATTAAAATTGCTGTTTCTGTGTTTAGGTTGTATTTTTTTGACTCTGTAGATAGCTTTCCTAACAGACAAATAGTAAGTACATTTATGTAATACCACATCATATTTGGGTATATGTATAGATTGTAGATTTTTTAATTTTTTACTTTTGTTAGTCATAGGGCTTGAACTCAGAGCCTGGGTGCTGTCCCTCAGCTATTCAGCTCAAGGCTTGCACTCTACCAATTGAGCCACAGTGTCACTTCCGGTTTTTCTGATGGTTTATTGGAGATAAAGAGTTTCACAGCTTTTCCTACCCAGGCTGGTTTTGAACTGAGATCCTCGGATCTCAGCCTCCTGAGTGGCTAGGATTACAGGAATGAGCCACGGGCACTGGACTTAAATAGTAGAATTATTAAATCAAGCTTTCTATTTCACTTTTCCTAGGTTTACCTACTAGTTCTAGTAATTTTGTTCATTTGGTTTTGGGCTTACGTTACCTAGATTCTTTATAGTTTTTTATGGCCAAAATTCACAGCAGGTGGAAAAACAGTCCTACTACTTTCTTCCCATTTTTAAATAACTTAGTTTTTGCATCCTCACTCCTGTTCAATCAGCAACAAGCATGATGATACCAGACAGCCTTTCCATGTTCCCAAAAATAGGGAAAAAGCTTTAGAAGTTCAGCACTAATCATTAAATTAACTACAACTCCATGCTGATGGGTTTTTATCAAGAGTAAGGAAGTTCTCTTAATTTCATGATTTGCTATTGCTATTACAGGTTTTATTATAAACAGATGGTGAATTTCATCAAATGCACTTTCAGCATAATTGAGACTTATGGCTAAAAGCATAAAGCCACAAAAAGAACTTTCTTCAGTGACAGATTCCCTCTATGGCTGAGCTGCCCATGGTGGTAGCCACCCAGTAGATATAGGACATGGCCAGTGGAAATGGGCCTGGCAAAACATAAATGTTTAAATGTATTTTATTTAAAAAGCCACACACGTCTAGCACTAGGTCACCACGCAGGACAATGTAGACAATGGTAAGACAAAGCTACTTTAGCCACGAAACTCAACCCCTGTATTTTAAAATGCTGAATGAGGCTTCAACAAAATTACAAATAGAAGTTCATGGAAAGACACAACTAGGAAAAAGGATAAACAAAGCCCAGTGAATGTGCAAGACTCATGTGAGTCGACCATAAATGGCAAACAAGAAATAACTGTGTGCCAACTGCCATCAATCAATCATGAGAACCCACCAAGGCCTACATAGATCAAGTTGCCTCCACTGCAATGCACCAAAAGTTCTTAAAGTCAGACAAACACTACACGTAGATGAGGATGTTACCAACAGCTTGCTGTAGACCAGCGACCCTATTCGGAAGAGCTAAAGGAGGACCACCTCAGCACTATCAACAGGAAGAAGGGGATGAATCCATAAACTTCCCTCACTCCATTTACCCTGTTTTCCCAGTTTTAAATACCTTCTCCACCATAGATCTCCCAAAAAACTCCATAGGAGACACATTGGGAATTCTTTCAACAAATTCATCAGAGAAATATTAAAAAAAAAAAAAGGTTCACAAGGAACATAGCTCACAAGTAGAAAATAAATATGCCAGACTGTCTTCTGTCTGCATAGAGATCAAACACCCCTGCTATGCCACAGAAGTGCAGATCAGGTACAATATGAACTAGGTGTCCTCCAGGGCCTGGGGAGCCTCTATTGTTTTTGTGGGGGGGGTCAGTCGTGGGACTTGAACTCTGGGTCTGGGCACTGTTCCTAAGCTTTCCAGCTGAAGGCTAGCGCTCTAACACTTGAGCCACAGCACCACTTCTGGTTTTCTGGTGGTTAAGTGAAGATAAGAGTCTCACGGACTTTGCTGCCCAGGCTGGCTTTGAACTGCGATCCTCAGATCTCAGCCTCCTGAGTAGCTAGGCGCCTGTGACTTAGATGGAGCCCCATGGGCAGAAGGAGCCCAGGCACGCTGGTTATGTGCTAAAGCCATACCCACCATCTTCCTGTGCTTAAGCCATGCTCTCTTCCAGTATAGACCAGTGCTAGTCCAACCCACAGCCTCTGATCTTCATGAACTGTAATGACAGAGGCGTTCTGATGGGGTTGCCATAATCACACTGCTAAAGCTTTCATTCTCCTCCTGCTGGTCTAGTCTAACCCTTGGGAAGAAGCACGGAACAATCACCATTTATCAAAGGAAAGAGAGGACCCAACAAGATGTAGGTTCAAGGTCATCTGGGAGGAGGGATGGGCACTCTCTGTGACAATACTGAGTTCTTGAATTTCCGGTGGCCTAGGGAATATCAAAGCAACTACATGAGCCCAGGATCCTTCAGTGATTTGGCAGGAACCTCATGAGCCACAACAGACTTCCGTGCTCTTTCAAGGTGTAAATCCTAAGATCCCAATTAAACACCTGAGCCTAGTACTGTATCAAGGAATGATAAGAATACTTATTTGTAGAATAAAAGTCTCCTTTGTAGCCGACTGCAGCGTTTGAATGGGAAGCTCTGGTTATTATCTCAGAGCTGTGCTGGCTTCAGGATAACAGGCTATTCTGTGTCCTCCACTGGGGGACTTGCCACAAAACACCTCATCTCACAGCACAGCCCGCTGACAGCCAACACGTGCGGGGAACGCAGCACGCTGGCCTTGCACCGCTCTCCTCTCCCCACACTGAGAGGAGGAGCAAAGCCACTCATACAGACATCACGTCTCCTTCAGAGCACCTTTCAGGCCAGTCTACAAACCCTCGACGGCTGTGATTGGTCACCCGAGCCTGTGGGTGCCACAGGATGTGCCTCTCCCCAGACTCTGTTTGGAACTGTCCATCATGCCACCCGACGGGGCATGTCCTCCGGGTGAGCAAATTGCTCTAAATGGACATTATTAGCAAAACACTCATGAAAGGCTTCTCATGGCTGCCTCTCCATGCACCAGGCCATCTGCAGCTCTCCGCCCCACCCCCGATCCACCCGATCCACCACCTTGCTGCACTCAAGTGCTATCTGCACAGGACTGGGGTTCAGGAGCCAGAATCCCCTGATCTTCAGTTCACAGCCACATGCAGTGAGAGAAAAACAGGTTATACCTAAATCTCCTCAAAGACATGGATGGAAGCATAGACTCAAGAGACTATTAGTAAAGAGAACCATTGCTAACGATGGTAACTGGGATGTTCTTAAATAAATAGTATGACGTTTTATTTTTGTACAATGAATGCCAATAAATCCCACCATGAAAACAATTAATGCCTTATAATAAACGAAACCCAACAATTGCTCAGGTCTTTTAACGTACCGAGGATTTGTCAAGTACTCTACCTCTACTTTGACACCAGGTATGGTGTTGCATGCCCGTTGTCTCAGCTACTCAGGGGGTGGAGGTAAGAGGATCATGATCACTGGTCAGCTCTGGCCAAAAGCTTGAGACTGGCCTCATGTGAAAAATAAACTAAAAGCAAAAGAGCTGGGCCTGGGGCTCAAGCAACAGAGTGCTACCTAACACGCACAAGGCCCTGAGCTCAGCCCCATTACTGAAAAATAAAAGTAATAAAAAGTATTATCAAACAAATCTACCATCAGGTCTTCCTGCATAGACAAGGCTGAAGAGTAGAGAGGTTAAGCAATTTGCTCAAGACCCCGGTACTTAAGAGGAACAGAGCCCGGGCAGCCTGGCCCCAGGACCACAATATCCAACAGGAGCTGAGCTGCAGCTAAGTGTGGCCAGGCCCAGACACCCCTCCTGGGGCACCTGTGGAGAATAAGGAGAGTGGAAGAGGCAGGCAGGAGACTATAGGTAAGATGCAGCTGAGTGTGGGGAAGAGCAGGGGACAAGAGACATCTTGTGTCCTGACAGAGTCCTTGCAGAGCACAGGACTGTGTTTTATTCACACTGAAGAACCAGTAACCTCCAAGCAGGACACACCCACCCATGCAGGGATATGCCCAGCTGCGCAGGGACACGCCCACCCATGCATTCATCAAATGCTTGTTCAGAGGCCACACAGGACAGGTCTGCATCCATCACTCAGATCATCCAACATACACTGAAATTTCCAAAGATAAATAGAAAATAGAGAGGTCGAAATTTATTCCAGAATTTCTGATAATGTATCACATATCCCTTCCAGCAAGATCTTTTAAGATTGTTAAGAGGGAACCACTAATAGAAATTATAGAATTGGGGGAGAGGGGTGCCATAGATAAAATGCTATAATCCCAAAAAGACTAATTAGCTGACATCCTAGAAAAATAAATCCTTTAAAACGACACAAAAGAGCCAGGTGCTAGTGGCTCACAACTGTAATCTTTGCTATTCAGGAGGCTGAGATCTGAGGATCACAGTTCAAAGGCAGCCTACGCAGAAAAGTCCGCAAGGTTCTCATCTCCAGTTAACTACCAAAAGCTAAAAGTGGAGCAAGCTGTGGCTCACGTGGTAGAGTGCCAGTTTTGAGCAAGGAGCTAAGAGACCCCATCCAGGCTCTTAGTTCAGGCCCTGGACCTGCAGGAAACAGTAGCAAGAAAACAACTCACGTGTAGGCTAACGTGGCACTGAAGTGTTTCTTAATGTAAGTTTCCAGAACAGGATTAAAATGCTGGAATTTTCTATCAGCAATTAGCCCAATGATGAAGACCTGTCAAATTAATCAATAACATTGTCATGAGCAGCGCAATGAAATCAATTCTGGAAACTTCCCCAGGCACAACTGGAACCACAGATGACAAGACCAGGTGGAACATTGGCAGGTAGGGATGTCCAGCTTATGCCAAAATGAGATTTGCACAGGTACACTTACACTGCCCCTTCGCCAAGGCTTTCAAGGTGACAGTGAAGGACCCCCTCCCCCTCCCTGCCTGGGGATGAGAAGAAGGCCCCTTACCAGAGCATCGAACACCAGCGTGTCAAACGTCTCGCTCTCCGAGTTCTCCATCATGATGTTGAAGAGGGCGTCCAGCGTGTCCTGCAGAAACTGCAGAGACACTCAAGATCAGTGACAGGGTCAACCACCCCATCCCTCCCAAAAGTGGAGTGACCATTCCACACACCCAGCTCTCCCCGATGATGCCTACAAAGCTAGCATCTTCTGAGATTTGTTCAGCATTAGGTACAAGAGACAGGAGTTTTCCATGAGTAAATCCAAAGATCAGCTACACAGAGTAAAGCAGGAAAGACTCACAGTCCTGCCCCACCCTGAGACCTGCTCAACCCTTTCTATGAAGTGATGGACAGCTACTCTAGAAAGACTGGCTCAGACTCAGCTTCATAATGGACTTCAACCGGTGAAGGCACAGAAGCCAGAGACAGGTGGCAACCCAGAATAGCAACAGAGAGGCCCAAGATAGGAGGGGGTGAGGGGGTGAGAGTCTGAAGCTCAGGCACAAGGCTGATGGGAAACTTAATTATACACTGTACTGAAATTTACCAGATGAAGGCAACCATGGAGTGTAACAATACACTGTAAATTAAACAAAAGAAAAAACTCCAAGTTAAGGAACCCACTAAAGGAAGTGTAAGAAGGGTGGGGCGAATTCACAATAGAAGTGGTGAGTTCCGGAGTGGGGGACCAAGAACAGGTGGAATGCTGCCCAACAAACCGGCGTCTGTGAGAGACAGGCAATGTGGACACACAGTGCTAGTCCTGGAGGAAATGTCTACTGGAGCCACATGAACACTCACACTCGGTTCAGTGGCTGTGTCAATGATGGAAGGACAACAGCAGGTAGAAGGAAGGTAGAAGGAAAGCAGAGCCTTGCACACTCAGTGGTGGTAGAAATAGAAATGGTGCAAGGCCTTTGGAAAAGGGTCCCACAGTTCTTCAAAAAGCTAAACCCAGATTTACTACCTCCTCCCATCATTTCGTTCCTAAGAATAGATCCCAAGGAAAGGAAAACAAGTGCCACGCAGAAACGTTTACATGAATTTCCACAGTAGCACTATGTGTAATGACACTCCAAAGTGGAAAGAACACAAAATGTCCGTGAACTGTTGGTAGGCAAACGTGCTCCAGCCACACAATGGGATGGAAGTCCTGCATCCGGGGACATGCTGTCACACGCTCAGACACAGAGGAACCTGCAAAACGCTACAGGCGAACGAAGCCAGACACAAAGGACACATGTGGTATGGCTCCAGTTACAGGAATGGCCAGAAGAGACAAATCTGGAGAACGACCGTGGATTCTGGGTCATGGGTGGGGAGGATTGCTAACGGCTATGACCTTTCTTCTCAGGGTGATCAAAATGTTCTCAAATTAGATGTGGCGATGATGGCACAACTCTATAAATGTGCTAAAACCACTACGCCGTGCAGATGAGAAGGGCGGGCTCTGGGTGAGGCCCTGTATAGCCTGGGCTTCTGAGCTTCTCCCACCAGTGAGAGAGCCTGCAGCCAAGGCAGACATTCCACCCTCTACCTCCAGGCCAGGGCTCTTTAAACCTTTATCCTTTGTAAGGTTTGAAAGATAAATTTTATGGCACATAAACTGTGCGATGGGTATATGATCACGTAGGAAGATGGGTGCATCAGATGTGGATGTAGAATGTTCCTGAACCATCCAAGAAGTATGTCCACTTCAAACTGTCACAGTCATGAGGCTGAGGGCCAAAGCATGGGAACCTGCTCCCACCCCAAAGCCGCTGCTCCTGCCCAGCCACCTGGTGACAGCACCAAAACCTCAGAGCTCTCTGTGGACATAGGGGGCTCTGCTTGGAGATGGGGGAGGGGGTGGTCCTCGTAGGCACAGTGGGCAGCTTCTGAACCCGGCAGAGATCCCACACTCCCGAGGCATAAATCCTCACTGCTGCCCACCACTCCTTATGCCAAAAAAATGTCACAGAGAAAGGACAGAGAACAAAACCTCCTGGAACAAGAGGCATGCCATGCTAGTCTGGACGGGCTTAATCAACTGCGTGGGTCTGTACTGCCTCTCTTTTGTAGCATTTACCATCGTTTTCAGATTACAGATCTTTGCAAAGGTCAAAACCTGACACCATCCACAAAGAGCCTACCATTCCTGCCAACAGGCTGGCCAGGTGTCAAGCCCTAATGAGACGCCCATCCCACCCACCCACACAAATGACATGGTCAGCCCCGGAGAAACAGAGCTGAAGAAACAGAACCGTACTAGACTAGAAAGCCTGCAGGTCAGGGGTGTCTCCCCACAAGCCACAGAGAGCTTAATGAGAAGCCCCCACCCTGTGAGACCACCCACAGATGGCTGGACCCTCAACTGCCTTCCTCATCTGAATGAGAAAGCATTTGTTTCACTAAGGTGCAAAAACCTTCGTCGATCTACCCATTACCCAACTCCCAGTTATGAATCCACGGAAGAGAGACCAAGCGAAAGCCACTCTGTATCTGTGTACCTATAGAAAGTCTTGGGAATGCCTCAAGCTCCAGGTGGCTCTCCAGGGCTGGGGGCTTAGACAGCCAGCCCATCCTCTACCACAAGGTGGGAAAGGCAAGGAAGAAAAGAACGAAGTCCAGCACACAGGGAAGGGAAGTCGAGCCAGTCTGGAGTAACAGTGAGCCCAGGAAGGATGGAGAGCTGGGGAAAGTATTTCTAGGAATCACAACTCATCCTCATGAGATGGCAGATGGGAGACCAGGAGCACAGGACCAGAGGATTCTAATTTTTTTTCCTGCTAATTATGACAACAGATCAACAGATATACAATGAGTTCTCAAAGAAACAGAGACTTAAAAATGAAAACGGGTGAAACTTCTTGGACACTGTGTGTCTTCTAAAGTAGCTCTGCTTACTCACAGAGCCTCCCTATCAACTGGGAGCGCACAGAACCCAGGGAAGTCGAAAATGCAATTAATACTGTCCAAGCCACTGGCAGAAGAGCAGGACTGAGGAAACGATTAAAATTTGAAGATGAGCAAGGATATGTTTGAATGACTACACAACGGATATAGCAAAGGAGAGAAACCAAATTAATTCATGCTGAAGTTAAGCACATTGCTGGTTAATTAAGGCCATTTGAAGTAATTAATTCTACAGAGATAAGGCAGTCTCCTTCCACAGGCTCCACTCAAGGAGGGTGAGAGAGTAAACCAGTGACATTGCTTATGAAACACCACAGGTCACTGACCCACTCAGCAGCCCCTGATCCAAGGGAACACACTGAAAATGATAATGCACTATTATTAATGACAGTCACACACACTGAGTGGTCCATGAGAGAAATATCAAAACCACAGACAATTAAGAACAGAGCATTTGAGCCAGGTACTGGAGGCTCATGCCTGTGATCCTAGCTACTCAGGAGTCTGAGGTCCGGAGGATCATAGTTCAAGGTCAGCTCAGGCAGAAAATAGCCAGCAAAAAGCAGGACTGGAAGCATTGTTCAAATGGCAAAGTGTCAGCCTAGCAAGCACAAGGCCTTGAGATCAAGCCTCAGTGCCACCAAAAAAAAAAAAGTTACAAAACTTGGGTTTTCAAAGGGATCTCACATTGCTCTATCTCACATGCCCGGCCTCACAGATGAAGCTGCTAATACAAGAAGGCTTGAAAAAACATAGGGCCCAGCACTTCTCCAGAGCTGCAGAAGTTTAAAAATATGTCCAAATGTCACAGAAAAGAAATGACCAAGCCAGACTCAGGCTCTGAGGTCTGTCTACCACATCATCGCATCCCCAAGTCAGTGTGAGGACGCAGGAAGGTGCTCGCAAGGTTAATAACCAGGGTGGAGATAATGACCGACCAGAGGTGAAAATAGCCAGGGATATCTCACGGGTGCCAGGCTGAGTACCTCACCCGCCCCAGGGAAGGAGGCCCCGTTAGCCATCGTCAGCACTGCACAGAGGACTGGTCAGCCATCCAAGGCCCGACCCTTCTGGATAGGCCTCCATAATGAAACCAAGCAGCCACAACCCACATAGAAGAAAACATCATTGTTGGCAAAGGAGACTGGAACCAGACTCCCATGGTGCCTCTGGGCTCATTGGCTCCATACACTGACAGACTCCCATGGTGCCTCTGGGCTCACTGGCACCCTACAGTGACAGACTCCCATAGTGCCTCTGGGTTCTGGCTCCCTACACTGACAAACTCCCATAGTGCCTCTGGGCTCACTGGCTCCCTCCACTGACAGACTCCCATGGTGCCTCTGGGCCCACTGGCTCCGTACCCTGGCAGACACAAAGACAAGCCAAGACCTCCCGCCAGGGCCCCATTACCTTCACCACCTCGCCGCCATCCACCTTCATCAGCTGCCTCAGGTTCTGCTGAAGAAGGTTGGTGTTGGAGCGCCACTTCAGGAGCCCCAAGAGGTCCACTGCAAGCACAAAGCAAAGCTCAGCTCCTCTGGTTAAGACCTTGGTCTCTGCTTCATGCCTCACCCCAACCCTAAAAGAAGAATCAGTCCTATTTGGGAAGGTTAGCCTACTCAAACGTTCATTACCATGTTACAGCACACATAATACCGAATGCAGCTAAAGTCATTATTTTCAGCCACATCATTTACCATGAAATCATTTCTATGTAGAAGCTTTACAAATGTATTTGAGAAGCTTAAAAATAAAAAAAAGGACTGGCTTTCTCAGCCTAGGGGAAGCAACTATGGAACACAGCAACATCTACCCAGAAAGTTCCATACAGGCATCTACTCTCAAGTGGTTTGTTATGAGAACACCCAGTTGCTTTTTAAGTAAAGTAACGTAAAACAAAGAATACAAATTAAAATCCAAATGCTTCAGTATCACCAAGACACAAGAGCCAGGGACCGCTGAGAGCACTCTCTAAGGGCTCCCTGATGGGCTGGCAGGACAGTTTGTCGGACTTAAGATGGTGGGTTTTGTCTGTTGCCTTTTTAATGGAAAAATCGAGGGTTGCATATACTGGATTTGTAAAGGTTTAAAGGATATCTCAAATTTTGAAGGATCTTACTTAAGATATCGAGACATTCTTCAAGGTGAGAAGACAGACTCTGAAATCTCTCCAGGAAAGTACGGGCACCCACACATTTGCACTTGAAGTTGTATTAATATCCCAGTACATGAAAAAAATGCAATTAGCAAAGTGCATCTAATTTACTATTTATGCTAATCAGCAACCAGCTTCCACTAGAGAAAGGGTAACCATTAAATAAAAATAAAACAAGATCCTAGTGAATACTGAAAGGAAAACATAATTGGGGGAGCGGTAGGACTTCAGTGAACATGGACACCCATTACAATGTTAAGATCAAACAATACGAAAGATAAGCACATATAGGACATTCAAACATACACTGCCAGTGATCTGTCCTCATCCCAAGTAGCTTGAACAAAGATTAGGGTTAAAATAAAAACCAGCAGCCCCCATGGATTCTGTGGCATCTGAAAACTGTGGGCTGCTGAATCCTGCAGCAACTACCAAAACTGGAGCGATGATTTCACCTCAACTTTCCCATCTGAACACTAGGTACAGCAATGTAACCTAATTAATTAATCTTAATTAATCTTACTCTTGCAGGACTGTTGCAAAAATTAAATGCCATAGGAAAGAGCCCAATGCCCAGCACAAAATACTAACAGCAGCAGGCACTCGAAGAAGTATTCGAGTTGATTTCTGATTAGAAGTAGAATGACAGCCTGGGCACCTGTGGCTCATTCCTGAGATCCTAGCTACTCTGGAGGCCGAGATCTGGAGGGTCATGATTCTAGGTCAGACTGAGCAGAAAAGTCCAGGAGATTCCATCTCCAAAATAACCAGCAAAAATCCAGAATGGAGGTGGAGCTCAAGTGGCAGAGTGGAAGCCTAGTAAGCAAGTCAAGCAAGAACATGCATGGTGCCAGCAAAAAAAAAGGAAGGAAGGAGGGAAAGAGGGAAGGAGGAAGGATAAAGCCTATACACGTGCTCATACTCTCAGGATTACAGTTAAGGCAGAGTTTCTTTAACAGAGACCAATCAATAATATGGACCTGATTGATTCAAGGTTGGTGGTCCCTGGAATACGGCTGAGCTGAGATTTACTTCTGTGTTTGAGAAAATATTCGCCAGGGCAAATAGGAAGTCACCTTGGAGGAGGAGGAGGAGGTTAGAGGAAAACAGAGCTTGCCCAGCCCCCACAGGGCAATCCACTGGAATAAAGTGAGTCCCCAAGTCCCCAAGCCAACTCCACGGTGACTCTTTGTTTCCTGAGTACTTTCTGTCTCACTATCCAGGAAGTGAGCTGAGAAGAGGATCACATCTGATGCTATTTTTCTATCCAGGAGGCATCCAGCAGGATGCTCAGGACAGAGATGCGTAACGCAAACTTCAATGAATAATTCAGCCTCTGTTTGTCCCTAAATGACAGAATGTCAGTAATGAATTACCATCTCAGAAAAATGACTCCCTCAAATGAGAGTCGGAGGCTCAATGCCTGGATGCCAACTGGGGAAGCTCCATCCTATAGCCGCCTGACATGGCATCCCAGAAAAGGTGCATGACCATGGTCTGAAACAGAAGCCACAGATGTCCCCTCTGCTCCAGTGAGCAGCCCCACACTGGAATTTCCTGTTGCCCAGCAACAGCTGCTGCTGAGCCGGCTCTCTCCCTGGGGACGTGGAGGGAATCGCCCTACAGCTGGGGAGGCTGGGGAGCTTCTGGGTTCCTGGAAGGTTCCAGCCTACCCTAGGAACTTCCTGACTCCCAATCCTCTTTCCAGGAATGTTAGGGTTGAGAAGGATTCTGGATGGGCTTCAGAAGATAATGGCTACTCAAAATATTGTTTGGAAAGAGAAAATACATCCAAGTTTAATACGTGGCAAATACATGGTAGAAATGGCATACACAGGCCCTGCCTGTCACCGAGCACCCACCAAAAACCTGACGTGCCCAGCGCATGAGATGGAAGCCACCTTCATCTTCACTCTGGCCCAAACAGGGTCCTGACGATGTAGTCTGCAGGCACATGGAGATGATCAGGCCATGTCCAGAGAGCAATGTTCATAGTGAGAAGCATCCTTTCTATAACCAGCCCCCAGCTGAGGCCCCACTGCTGACCACATGTCCCCTGGGCACCAGCCTTGGAGACTCCTTGCATTCTCCTTCCCAGCCCTCCTGCCTGCACAGATCCCACAACCCAGGCAAAGTTTTCCATCTTCCTAGTTTGCCTGAATCATTCCTGAAGTGTCCAAGCATGTGCCTGGGCAGTGCCGTCCAGGAGCACACGGAACGCCTGGTATGCTGTTTTTCCTTTAAGGTTACCCTCCCCCTATTTTGCCTGAATCATTTCTGAAGTAACTATAGCCAAATGGCCTTTGAGCCTCTGTATGGAAATGGCACACAAACGGCCTCAAAGTGTCCACATCCAGATATGGCCAAATCGTCCTAAATTGTCTGAGTGACTTATTGGTCAATTCTCTGCACAGTTCCCTCCCGAGATCCTTGTGGTAAGTGCTGCTGAGCATGTCTGAGGCTGAGACAGCAGACAGCCAGGCAGAGAAAGTTTGAAAAGCGTCTGAGGCAGGGTGCATATGCTCGAACCCTCGGGACACCAGCACCGCCCCTGCAGGGCCCAGGCCTCCAAATGATGGGCTTACTTTTGTCCTGCACTTATCCTATTAAAGCTCAAAGGATGCCTGCCTCTTGGTAAAGCCAAAATGCCTGTCATGATTGACAGACAGCCAGGGAGATGCAATTCCTGATAGCAACAGACATTAATAATCACAGTCCATATCGGTCAGTTAAGAGGAAAAAATTGGATTTTCAAGCTCAGTTTCAAGAGATCATAAAGTCACTCTGCACAGCTGTGATATGGCCACATTAGGGGATGCAATTTTTAAATGAAGGATCTGTGCAGAAGAGCCTCTGCCTCCTCCAGACAGAGTGACAGCAACAATGGCCCTGTGCTCTGAATATGAAGTGTTCTGCTGGACAGCCAAGTCCTCAGGGAGGATGCAAATGGTGGGAGATGAACTTGGCCTGCCTCGGTGCCCCAGCTGTTAGCTGACCAGTGGCCTGCAAGTCAGGCTCAGGTTCATGTGCATGAATCGGCAAGGGTGCCTCATCTCACACTGCAAGGGGACAACAAAGTGTCAGGCAAATCCACTAGTGAAAAGAAAGATAACTGGTGTATTATCCCCAGGAGTAGCTAAGAAAGAAGACAGAAGGAGGGTAGGTACCTCAAATCCAAGTTATCTAACAGTCAGAAAGCCCTGGAAGCGGGCATGAAACCCAAGTCATAGGAAACAGGGTTCAGAGAACTCTTGTTCAAGGTCATTTCCAAGATGAACACAGCGCTGGAATGCCAAGGTACTTTCCAGTGGCTGAAAAGCACTGTAAAGAAACCCATTGCTCTGACTTCCTGTCAGGCTAATCCTTCGATGAAAATAGGAACGTGAATCTTAAATGACGATGGATACCACTGCCTCTCTTCTGGCCCAGGTTGTGATCCTCATCACAACCACAACAGAACAAAGGGTGCACATGCACCTACAGAAATCTCTGCCCAGCAGCAGCTGAGAACGGGGCTGAGAGGAAGGAATCCCAAGGAGAATGGGTTTCTACTGGCCAGCTCACCGTTCTGGGTCAGCTTGGTGGAGCACACCAGTGTGGAGATCTGGAAGGAATCTTTGCTGATGGTGCAGTTCCCAAGGCTCTGCATGCTCTTGCCTGTGGCCGAGTGGCCCTTCTCCTCCAGCTCAGCTTTGGTGGAGGGCAGACTGAGGTAAGTCGCTGCGTCCTCCAGCTTCTTGGCTTCAGCCTGTAGGTTTAGGTAATGTGTCACACCTGACCCACACACAGCAAGACATCACTTTCCCAAGCTGTGTTATCCTTGATCCTTTTCACTCTTAACGCTGCTCTTCATGGCCAACCCCACAGTGTTTTAGGGTGTTTTGTTTTGTTTTGGTGCCAGTACTAGGGCTTTAACTCAGGACCTGGGCTCTGTCCCTTAGCTTTATTTGCTCAAGGTGAGTACTCTACCAGTTGAGCTACAGTTCCTCTTCTGGCTTTTGGTTGGTTAACTGGAGGTAAGAGTCTCATGGACCTTTCTGCATGGGATGGCTTTAAACCAGAATCCTCATACCCCAGTCTCCTAAGTAGCAAGGATTACAGATGTGAGCCACTAAACACCCAGCTTCCACAATGTGTCTTCATCATTTCCCTTATTTCTGGCAGGTAGAATCATGCTCTCAGCCTTTTTGCACAGCACTCTCTTCTCTCAATACGAAGAGCAACAGGGTTGGTCACCATCAATGTCCACTTAGATAATTAAAGGTAACTACATGGCGGCTTTCTCACGGTGATGGGAAAGGTAGTGCAGAGAGCCCAAAAAAGCCCTCGAAACTGCAGCAGTGACGAGACCTACCTTGTAGACGATGAGGTCGTGTTCCCCGTCCCGCAGAGTTGTCCCGTCGTATCGCATCAGTTTCACAAATGCTAGCGCAAATATCTTCTCAGACTTATCTTTAGCTGCAATAAGAATCAGTAATCGCCTTCAATATGGTCATGACAAAATAACATTATAAAGTGCCACAACAGCTACTTTCATGAAAATAACTCCAAACCTATACTGACAGATGTTAAGGTCCATCGAATGATGTGGAGACATGGGAGATGGGAACACAGGAGGACCTGGAAGAAGTCTCAGCCCTTCCCCCACTGGCCAGCTTCGGCTGGAGGGTGAAAGGTGGCTCCTGTTTGGCCAGGGCAGGTCCTTTCCCTGACCCTGGGCATCTGCAGTCAGGCCTGGCTGGAGAGGTCCCCCACAGCCACCCTCAGTGACTAACAGCTCAGACTCTCATCAGCAGCCAACTTTCCACGCTTAACATTTCAGAGCCTCCCCTGGCTGCAGCCTGGGAAACTTTGTTAATTATGCAAATGTGTCTGTCTACAATGAGTGCTTAAGTTTGACGGGAAAAACAAGGATTTTGAAATTTAGAATGCAAGAGAAGGTATTCCTTTGCCCCTGTGTAATTTATTAATTAAGGAGACTGAGCTTGTTAGAGGGGGAAGCATGGTGGTAAGGCAGTCCTCCGAGGAGTCTAGAGCTCTCTGCCCACATCCTGCCTCCCTGGGCCTGGGAGGGAGCCCTCTGGTGCAGTCCTCCGGGTGAACCCTGGCTCAACATCCAGCAGGCCCCTGGTCCCAAAGGACTTGTGCCTAGCCTCACCTCAGCCCAGGTCTAGCCGACCCCACACCCAGTCCTGCTGTGTCGCTGTGCAAGCTGCAGAGCCCACCATGCCCTGCCTTGGCTGACAGCACATGTGTGCTCAGAGATGCCCCTTTCAAGGAAGCCTGGTGTGGCCACACCACACCGCTGGGAGCTCATGCTTTGCCCTTCACTATTTACACTTTGCAGAATCCCAGGCAGCAGAGGACCAGAAGAGGCTCATGCAGACACCTGCAGGAGGACAGAGCCAGCAACTGGTCATGTCTGTCACCCCTGTGGCCTCGTTGGGTCCACACAGACCACTCTATTCTTCTGATCCTGTCCAGCACACAACTAGAGTCAATATCACTGCAGTTTATTTTCCCAAGACAGTTCCAAGCCAAGACAAACCACAAGGGGCAGGGACAGAGTGAGTCTTCCTTCTCTAATCTCATCTGTTGGGTCTAACTAACGCTGCACACAGTGTTAAGACTCCGCAGCAAATAGCACAGAAAGTGACGGATTCAACACATGTGATGCATAATAAATTCTCTTGGAAGGTGAGTGGTGTGGACACTAGCTCCTTCCTCCCCTGTCCGGGCCTCAGTCAAAATCTCACAGCTGGAACTGCTCTGGCTGAGCTCCCCTCACCACGGGCCACCAAGAAAGATGAAGAGGTTCCACATCCTCCTCTCCAAGACAGACAACACTAGGAGCCAAAAGGAGTTTGGTGAGTGCAGGCAACTTTTCTAAATGCAAAAGAGAGGGGACCCCAACGATGAGAAAGGAGCAGCCGTGCTCCCTATTCCACAAAGAAGGGCAAGAAGAAGAAATCAGAGGTCTCCTGAGGCCCGAGGACATTCCCAAGATCAGGTTCAAGTTCGAGACCATGCCGTACATGACAGTCACACCTCAGAGCCACCAAAAACATGTGCAGGCTGCTGAGCTCCCCTCCCCACCCTTCTATATCCCACCCCCCACCCCGCCCACCCCCGTGGCAAAAAACTGAAAGATGACATGTTCCGCTACTCACAGTCCTGGGATGACCTATGGCGGAAGGTGAATCGAAGGTGACTTCGGTTAACGTCCTCGATGGGGATGGCCACCTAGAAGAACAGAGAGGACGTCCAAGCTCGTTCCCCAGCTTTGTGCAGCTGACACACCAGGTCTAAGTGTGAACACTTCCACACTGGATAACTAATTCCAAAGTCAAAATGACTCTGTGTACAAGATTCCAAACCAGATGTCAGACAGCTGGATTTTTCTCTTTTAATGTGCACATCCTTACTATAAAGATTCTCTTTTTGGAACTTGGCACCTTTGTTGTGAGCCGCAACACACTTTCAGCAAGAAAGCTTTTTCGTGATCACATTAGGGAAAAGGAAAAGACCTCCCATGTGCTGTCTGTAAGCAAGGATGGTCCTTAATTCTGACATCTAACATCTGTACTCCAGAGCCAATCTCTAGCCTAGTTTTCAAAGACTCAAGCTCTTGGGAAGGGGGAGGGGGAGGCATGGACTTGGGGGTTGCCATGGTACAGGCAGCGTGCTGCGGAGCTCTCAGCATGCTGCACAAACACAACGCATGGGAACGCACAGGAACCCTCTCCTGGTGGTGATCTCCACAGGCTGGAGTCCCTGTTTCGTCACATTTGGTGTAACAGGCAGCAGGCTACATGTAGCACAGATCCAAGGAGAGAAAGACAATCGCTATCTTTAAGACATTCTGTTATTCCCCATGAAAGTGCTATTTTTGTGGCTAAAAGAAGATGAGGGCAAATACATTCCAAGAAATGCCAATGTGGTCCCTTGGCAAAACCAAATGATTTTTTTGGCCACCACTGGGCCTCCTGTTATGTCACCAAGCGACTCCTGGGACTAGCAGAGAGGTTTGCTTTCCTTGCAATACAGTGAACGGTTCATCATCAGTCCAGGTGATAAACGATCATGAAAATTATACCTTAACGGTCTCAAACCAGCGCGGCTGCTTCACTTGGTAGTAAATCACAGATTTGTACTCCGAGATCGCCTCATCACCAGCACCAGGGAAAATCACATGCTTAAAGAAAAAAGTAAAGAGTCACCTAAGACCTCCCAAACCTACACATGGCACATGTCTCCCCCTGCACACCCCACTACAGCCTGCAGGAAGAGGAGCAGAGCCCCCCACAGTCGCCAGTCAACCATCACCACGGAATATGTCCCCAGCAAGGGAGCCAGCCTCTAGCCTGGTCTCAGATACTGGAGACACGGATGGCTTAAGATGGGGGAAGAAGCTGTCCTGTCCCTCTCCTCTGACCATCCCAGTCACTTTCACATCAGGACCTATAGTCAGTTGCTTCATTCACTAGGCAGGTCTAGAACAAAGAGCTGCCCATCAAACAGAGGGCGCGACCCCCCCCCGACTCCCCGAAGCCATGGAGGCGTCCCCTAGACTCCTAACGAAGCCACACTGGTGAAGACACAGAGGGAAGGGTGGCAGCCCCCGCTCCCAGGGAGATGGCAGGCAGTGGCAACGACAAAATCAGTCACCAAAAACCAATGCCAACACTGCTCCACACAGTAAGACACAAGCCCCAACCTCTGCTCAACAGCCCCAATTCCCAGGACACCACAGGGCACCTCAGGCCACAGTCCAAGAAATGGAGTGGCCACAGGGGGCGCTCAAGGTCACAGAGCAGGCTGAAGGGATCAGAAGCCCAGATTTCAACCTCAAGTCCTCCTCTGATTTGCTCTCTGGCCCTGGAGAAATTGCTTCTTTCTCATGATCTCCTTGTCTGTCAAGTGGTAATGAAAATGGTATCTGTATTTGCGGACAACAACTAGGCCTTGTAGCCCTTGGGATTATGCCAGCAAAAGTCACTTCCTGATAAGGTTGGGCAAAGAAGGTGGTCAAAACCCAAGGGCTCTCTGGAGACAGGCTGGTGGCAGGAGCCAGAGGACAGGAAGGCAAGCTGAGGAACAGGAGGAGACAGCCAATGCTTATCCAGGAAACAGGGTTACAAGGCCTGTGGAGAGTGCCTCCGGTTCTACAGCAGAGCCCAAGCAGACACTTCCAAAGCAGACATACCTCCAGTCGCTTCCCATCTTCATCATAGACAGACACTGTCACCTCCACGTTCTTCGCTGTCGTTTTGTTGCCTTTATCAAAATCTCCTTGCACTAATGTTACATAGATATCATTTCGAACATCACCTACGGGGTTGGGGGGAGAATTAAGCCTTTACTATCAATCCATTATTTCTAGTGAAACCACAAATTGTACAAGAATATTATAGCAGAATATTGTAAATAACTCCATTTGATGACTGCGAAGTATTTTCTTTTTTTTTTGGGGGGGGGGGTCTGGTCGTGGGCCTGAACTCTGGGCTTGGGTGCTGTCCCTCAGCTCTTCAGCTCAAGGCTAGCACTCTAGCACTAGAGCCACAGCACCACTTCTGGCTTTTTTTTTCTGCTTATGTGGTACTGAGGAATCGAACCCAGGGCCTCATGCATGCAAGGCACTCTACCACTGAGCCACCTTTTCGGCCCATCTGCGAAATATTTCCTACAAAACAATCTCAGCACTAAAGGCGTAACAAAAGCAATTTGAATCATCATCATTAGAAGACTTGCTGGAAAGAGAAAACATTTAAAAGCCAAAAATTTTCTCATTGTACTGCACAGGATTTTCTTCTCTGTGCCTCAGCAAGAAGCCAATGCCCAGAACATCCACAGTGCTACTGACGGAGACACGGAGACTGGGTCCCCATGAGCACCGATGGCATGGCAACCAACATTATCACCCTGTCTGATTCTGCTGGCTAAGGTCACCTGACTCCTTGGGAGCCACACCAGGCAACAGCATAGATCAACTGCAGTCTTCTTCTCCTTCTTCTTTTTTCCAGAGCTGAGGACAGAACCCAGGGCCGTGCACTTGCCAGGCAAGGGATCTTCCACTGAGCTAAATCCCCAACCCCAACTGCATTCTTCTAAATGCAGGATTCCAAAACGGAACTAAAAAGTGGATTAAGAGAACTGCAAGCCTAAGATGAGGAAGAAGAATGAGTCACAGGAAAAACTTTCTGCATGTTTTTATCATGGTATAACAAGTAGCTATGAGGATCCTGGATGAGAAAAGATAGCAAAACAGAGCTATGCTCTGTGTGTGTGTGTGTGTGTGTGTGTGTGTGTGTGTGTGTGTGTGTATGTGTGTGTACATTGGTGCATTGGTACTGTGTGTGTGTGCGTGTGTGTGTGTGCGTGCGTGTGTGTGTGTGTGTGTGTGTGTGTGTGTGTGTGTGTGTGTGTGTACATTGGTGCATTGGTACTGTGTGTGTGTGCGTGTGTGTGTGTGCTGTGTGTGTGTGTGTGTGTGTGTGTGTGTGTGTGTGTGTGTGTGTGTGTGTGTGTACATTGGTGCATTGCTACTGAAGCTTCAACTCAGGTCCTCATACTCTCACTTGACTTTTTCTCCTCAAGCCTGATGCTCTCTGTCACTTGAGCCACAGCTCCACTTCCAGCTTTCTGGAGATAAGAGTCTATCAATTTTCTTGCCTGGGTTGACTTCAAACCACGATCCTCAGATCTCAGCCTCCCAAGTCCTTAGGATTACAGGCGTGAGTCACCACAGCCTAGCCTAGGTCTGTGCATTGTAAAGTAAGATAGGCCTTTAATTGTGGTGGGAAAAATTAAAACAAATGAACTCAACTCTTCTTCCTACTGAGAATATGTGAGGCCCCCAGTAATGGTCCGACTGGGAAAACTTCACAAGCTTCGTTAGCAACATGATTTAGAGGAAGCATCATTGCCTGTGACTACTTCTCCACCTCCTGCCTGGTTTGGCCTCCTATGACCTGGCTCCTTCCTCTTTCTGGGTCCTCCACCTCCTCCGACTCCTACCTGCCCCCCAGCTGGTGCTGAACTGCTCCGCACAGACCATCAAGGTCCCTCAAGAGCAGCCAGGGACAATCTTGCACTGACTAGAGAGCCAGGGTTGTTCTTCAGGAAAACAAGCCTTTCTTTGTTTTCTTGTGTTTTCTTCTGCTTCTTTTTCCTTAACTGCTCCATTTTGGCTTTTAATGTATCCAACTATTAACTTAAGCTTCCATTTAAAAGTCATTATTGTAATAGTCCCAGTGGGTTCTCCCACAGCCACAGAGTGGCTGCTAGAAATCATGGCTCCAAGTGCAGTACTGTCCACAAGAGAAATCAGGGAGGATGTACCAGCTGGGGAGCAGGAGGCAAGGCTACCTGTCCAAGACCCACCACTCACCAGCTGGGTGACCTTGCACGGAGCATGACTAACTTCAGACTAAGATCTCTATCATAGCACAAAAAACAAAACAACAACAACAACAAAAACACAGTCATCTATTCAGAGGCAGCAGCAGCCTCTTAAAGACCAACCTGAGAAGTGACAGGGTCTGGGGGCAGCAATCGACTGGTTCTCTGGGGCCACCCCAGAAGATCCTATGTACAGAAGGTAAACCCAAGAGGTGGGCATCCCAAAAACCCTCAGTAAATGCCTCCTCCAGAGGCAGGGCTCCCATCTCAGGAGGAAGGAAGGGGAAACAGCTGAGGGTAGAGGCCAGCATCCGTCCCAGGTGACCCAGGTGCCGGGACCCTTCTGAAGGACTCTAGGATGACAGTGGGTGGAGGGGGAGGAGCAAACACAGTGCCGTGGCCAGCCCCACCACTGCGTGATGGAGATGGAAGAGCAGACAGGGCAACTGCCCAGGATAAGCCAGTCTAACTGCAGAAAGGGACTAAAAAACATTCCCGCTGCCTCCAGTACCCACACACTGGCCAGTGATAACTCAGCCAACAGCGAAGAGAGATAACTCACTCCAGCTACAAGCCCTCTCTAAGGAACCCCTTAGCACATGGAACTTCCCAGAACAGCAGTCAGCATGCTTTCCCCACAAGTCTGTCAACGGTAAAGAAAGCCTTCATCGGCATATACGGGAAGTTTCCTTGGCTTCCCTTTGGACATAAGGACATCCTAAGGCCCCCAAATAAATGCACATCATCGACTTCAGCTGAATTTGCTGCTCAAGTCCAACTGCACACAGAAAGTCCACAAATTAGTCCACTTCCATCAACAAGTCTGCATTAACTTCCTAATTACAAACCATCACAGGAGAGCAACAGCTGTCCCACAGCACCACTGGAGGCCAGCTGTCCTGCTTTCCCGGTACAGGTGAGCCGCGGTGCCATCCACTCTGATTTCCAATGCTTGCTGAAAGGACTTAGCAGACTTGGTCTTCAATAACCCAAAATGGTTCTGAGAGTCAAGAGCAGTGAAAAGCAGGAGACCTACAAATATGTGAGTTTCAGATGGACAATGACTCTTGGTACACATGAACAGGGGAGGCCTGCAAAAGGAGGCCGCACACGACTGCCCAGTATGGGATGGCCTGGCCCCATTTCCACTGCTCATTGCCCAGTGACTCTAGGCTGTGGTTGCATTTTGATGGGAATTAGCTCAATGTGAACTTGTAGGGGTCCAAGAACCTTATGTGGGTCAACTGTTCACACACCAAAAAGTATCATTCGGATACATAGGACAAATAGGATCATGATTCCAAGATCGGAGAACCAAGTCAGACTGTAAATGTGAATGTTATCGGGAAATCAGAAACGACTGTGAAATGTAAGAGAGGAATGTGAAAGAATCCCAAAATCATGTTACTCTGTCCAGACAAAAACCAGTGTATAAGCATTTAGACGTATTGTCTTCTAATCCTGCCCACACCCTGTGGTGGCATCATCTTGATTCACCTCCTTTCATCTACTGTGTCTGTGTCAACCACAAGACACCTGAGTCGGGCAGGGGCTAATTCTGTAAGATCCAGTGACCGACGTGCCCTCACCACACTGGGCACAGCCCCTGACCTCTAACTTAACTCACAGCCACACTGGGGCTTACCTGTCACAAGCCACAAGCCACGCCACACCCAAACCATCACCTGAAGCCCTGAAGCAGCCAGCCCTTACCAGGCATGATGATCTCTGGGAAGCCCGTCTTGCGAGCCACGGCAGTGGTCCTGTCCACCAGATGAGGAAACTCCTTCCGAATCTGATGTACATCTCCAGGAAGCAATTTCAATGTTACCCACAAACCTGGAAGGACAGAAGGCTCCTGGTCACATTGTTTCTTAAGACAGTTCTAGAAGTTTTCACAAAAGCAATTTTGGAAAAGGAACAACTTTGAATTCATGTTCAACACCAGAGCTGAAACATACAGCCAGAAGCCCAGGCAAAAGGCACCTGGTAAGGGAATGAGCTGCTGGGGTTAGCTGGGAAACAGACCTTACCCAGGAGGGAGCAACAGATAGAGGGGTCCACACACAGCGTCTGCACAGCCCTTTTTGAGCTGACAGACATTCAGGATGCATCAGAAGGTGGCGTTTATCTGGGATAGACAAAGAGACTGACATTCTCCTGAGTGCCCGGAAAGCAAAGGGCAGGGAGGAGTCAGCGGTGAACAGTTTTCTTCAAGAACACTGGGGGTCTCATGCTGACAAAGCACAGCACCCTGCCTAGGTGAGCAGCAGAACGTGGAGGGTTGTGCCAGAGACAACGCAGCCCGCAGAGCGAACCCCCCATGCTACATCAACAGAGCAGGCCTGCATGGTGAGACTCACTTCTTTCCTCCTAGTAAGGAAAAGAAGACATGGAAGACTTGCTCGATCAAGTGTGGTGAATGCAGTGACCCCAGGCCAGGAGGCCAGGGAGCAGAGGCCACAGGCTCTGTGGGTGGATTAGCATGTGCGCTCAGCCCTCAGGGGACGGGGACAAAGCACACGCCAGCAATGAATGCATCAAGGGCAGGAGACAAAGCCAGCACCCGGCGGAGCCAGCTGCATTCAAGCACAATGGCTCTGCTCGCGTGCAAAGAGTGCCAGTGTTGTCTGGCACGTGGCAGACAGGGCCGCGGGGCCTGGCCTGCTCCGCACAGCTCAGTGAACGTGTCACAGCATCTGTGCCAGGCTGTGTCTGCGTGTGCCTGCATACATCCGTGTGTTCGTGTGGCTTTGTATGTTACTGTGCGTGTCCCTATGTGCTTCTGTGTATGAACACAGGTGTGTCTACATATATGGCTGTATCTTTGTGTCTGCAGACATGTGCAGCTATTCACGTTCTGGATGCTTCCAAAGAGCAAGGGGCCTATCTCTCCTATTGCTTAGCTCAGCACCCTGCAGTCTGGAGAAGGAAAAATGAGATAAATATCCAAAGCCTTGTCCACCATGGCTTGTATTCTAAGTGGGCCTGGAAGCCGTTCCACGGGCACACACGGAGCCCCAGGCCAGCTGCCCGCTGGCTTCACCCCGGAGTCCAGCTTGCGGTCCTGGAACAGCTCCCATGGAGAATCTGTCCCCTTACAAAGATGAGCGTCACTCGTGATTGAGAAAAAAATCACTGATGACTCCTCATCCTGCGAGTTGGGGAAATCCCATCCTGCTATGAGGGAGCCTCCTAGCTTCTCCGAATTGCCTACGGAGTACCTACAATGTGCCAGGCCCTCCCTGCACACTGAATACACGGATGGGAGCTTGCTGCTCCCACACCAGACTTAGGATCATCATAGGCACCCCATGCTAACTCCCAGTCCCTCGGAGACATGCACACGTGGAAGCGCTGTCCTGAAGGGCACAGTGGGCTCATCCCCACCTACGCCCTCCTCTGAGCACACAAGGGCGGAGGTCTGCGGGCCACAAGAAAGGAAACTCCAGTGGCTGCATCGGGAGGCTGTCAGGAACCAGGACCCACCTGAGAGGAGGGGGGAGGTTCCAAGGAGGGCTTAGGAGCGAGGCCCAGGTCTGCCCGACACCACGTGGCAGCACGGGAGCAGTCAGTGGGAATGGACAGGGAGGGCCGTGCGGCAGCCCCAGGGGACTCTACACTCAACTGTGAGAAGGGTGGACAAGAATCCAACCTTCGGGTTAACATGCAGAACTGGAAGAAAGGCCGGGGAAGGAGGGAGACTCTCAGAGAGGGTTCCTATTGGAACGCACCAGGGCAGGGGAAAAGAAGAGGGTCCTGCAGTATGTATAAAAGCTCTCCTTCCCTCCACCCCCCCCTCCTCTTTCTCCTTCTCTCCTCCCCTCTCCCCCCTCTCCCCCTTTCTCTCTCCTCTCTCTCCCTCTCTCTCTCTCTATCTCTCTCTCTATGGTGTGAACCAAAGTTCACACCAGGAAGGAGAAGCCAGAGAAATGAGAGAAGGGCTGGAAGGGAGGCATCCATGCGGCCCAGGTGCCAGCTGCTCCCACAGGAAAGGGAGTTTGGAGCAGGCCAGGCACTGAGCACTCAGGATGCCACCCAAGCCTTAGCAGGAGCCACCTTGGTGCAGGGCAGGGTAGACAAGGTGAGAGAAGGAAAAGAGGCTCTCAGGATCTACACGTCAAGTGCTGGCCAAGAAAGCGAGAGCGCCTCAGCACGCCAAGCGTCCCTCACGAGCTCCATTGTCTCGCCCAGACAAGGGGGCGCCTTTCTAGTTCACACACAGCAGCAGCTGAGTGGAGGTCTGGCCACGGCCTCCCAGTCTCCCGGCTCTGCGTAGTTGTTAATAACTGAAAATCCTGTCCTCTCTTTCCTGACAAAGACCAGCTCACTCAAATATCTGCATTCTTTAACTGGAATATTAGTGACAGCATCCATTGTGCTACAACACAATTTAAATATAGAGACTAAATTTTCTTGATGACAATGAGTTTAAAACATTCTCCTCACAGGAGAAAATGAGACCAATTTTCTCCAAAGAACCTAAGTAGGTTTCTAGGTGACATCCGCTTAGCTAGAACATCTAAAAACAAAAAGGCTGGGTGTTCATGACATCACAAACACGGAAGGGGCCACAGGGCTGCGGGCTCACGGCCCCGTCGATACCCATGTACCTGCAGCTCACAAGTGAGAATAATTTGGATCAAATATAAAAGACTTAAGACTGAGGGATGGATTCCCAGCACTGAAAACTAAATGAAGAGGCACACATCGCAGCAAGGTAACCAGTGGGTACAAACCTAGACTAGGAATAGGCCAAGGTTTGGGGCAAATGCAGACAGATAGGCAGCAGGTAGAAAGGCAGAGTACTTCCTCCCTCTCTTCAGCCCAGGTGTTCGCCAATGGCCAAGCAAGCATTGGCACAGCTGACTAGTGAGGACGGGAAAGCTGGAGCCCCAGGGAAGCCTGCAACCCGCCCCCAGTAATTGCAACCCAAACTCCAGGGTCCTATCTTCCATCGCCTCCTGTGGAATGGCCTGGATTCTGCTCCAGCAGGAGCCATGAACTAAGGTTCAGGATGGAGGCAGAACTGGTTAGGGATGTTGCCCAGGGCACTGTGAGTCAGTGACCGGAAACTACTCCCCCTTCCCAGGAGTCCAAGGCACCAGCTGGGTACCGGTGTCATCATGCTCCAGAGCATAGCTGTGCCTCTGACAGAGGCAGACTTCTGTCCTCCCCTGGGGGTAGTGTCCTGCTGGCCTAACACAGTCCCCTTCTGCTTGTTTATAAACCCACGTTCGCCAAAATGCTGAGAACACTGCAAGAACAACCTATATCCATGCAGTGCGGGGGGGGGGGGGGGGGGGGGGGGGTTTTTCGGGGGGGGGGGGGGGGGGGGGGGCGGGGAGTGTCTGTTCCAGGGCTGAGGGGCCGGCTAGGGCCCTGGCTCACTGGCTCTCAGCCTGGAGAATGGCACCAATATAAACTCAGACCTGAGGCTACCAGGTAGCCAGGAAGGGCTGAATTTAGAAGAGGACGGGGCCCGTGTAGGTTTACATGTGTTCTCTGATCGACCGCATCCCAGGGACTCAGTGCTTAGATGGCTATTCTGCCATTGCTGGCCTAGGAAGGGGGTGGTTTATACCAGCTAAGGGTCCCTACAGAGCCCTTAGAGGGCCCATTGTCCAGAATATTCTTCCAACTCAATTAGTACTCTCCTGAGGACAAAGCGGAAATGGATGGAGAGGCGGTTTGAGGAAAGCCTGGGGACTGGGATCGGGGGCTGGTAAGTGGGTTTTCCTAGACCTCATAAGCCAGGCTAGCATCAAAGCTTTGAAGCTGACTCCCCTTAGTTGGGCAGGAGGGGGCCTCCATAATCAGTTGTTTTCTGGCAGCCTCCTGGCCAGCCCCATGCCAGGCCTGGGGTGAATGATCCATTAGTTCTGCCTGTGGAAGGTCAGTTGCTGAGAACTTGTCAGTGTGGGATTGAAAACAATGAAGGTGTCAGATTGGGAGGGGAGGGGAGAAAGCCTGTGCATGACAGAACGGCAGAGAAGCCACCTTCCTGAGAGACAGCGGGGCGGTGATTAGCACACCTCCCGGGTGAGGACAAACAGGGAGAGGCACATGCTGGGGATCGGATGGGAAAAGCCATGGCTGCAGAGTGAGCAGGGGACGGGAGCAGGCAAGCTACAAACGGCCAGGAAAAAAGGAGCCTCACATAAGCTGTCTGGAGCTGTAGAATGGTCCCTTGGAACAGGGCACAAACCATGTCTCATCTGCCCAAAAGACACTTCCTGTAGGATCCCAAGCTGCTATACCCCACTCTGTCCCTTTCACCAGGAAGCCCGGGGGGGGGGGGGTGGCGCGTCACCCTGGTCCCTAATAGCAGTTAGTTCTATCCCAGAGGGGTAACGAGAGAGAAAGGGAGAACTGGTAGGTGGCAGATATAGCATATGGCAGATAACATGTGGCCCACCACCTTCCCATAGTGCCTCAGGCTCTTCCTCAAATGTTTCTTCTTCCCATAATGCTGAGTTCCCTCACAAATGCCTCTTCCCATAATGCCCTGGGCGTCCGCTCAACCAGTAGAGAGAGTCATGATGTCCTGTCAAATGCACAAGCCAGCAACTGACCAGCACAAAGCCCTGGGAGGAGGTTTGAGAGGAGACCATACTGTAATGGCAGCCTGCCCCCAGAACTCCACTGGACTCATCCTTGGGCCCCTCTCCAGATGAGTGGAGAGTCTCACTACTTCCTTTGAAGGCTTTCTTTTCACTTTGACATAAACTTATTGTTTATTTTTTTAAAAGGTAAGGAGAGGAGAGGAGAGGACTGAGGAAGACGGCTCAGCTCTGGGGTCTTCCCAGAGATCCAATCGTGTCTTGTTCAGTCTGCAGCTCTCCCTGCAGCCCAAGCTGCCTCTCAGTAACCCTTACAAAGGCAATCAGTGAGGAAGCCACACTTGCTGTCCACAGGGGACCACTGTGACACACCGTCCCCACAGTGGCTGCCACTCACATCCAACTGAAAGTCCAGCCAGCCAGCCAGCACCCCCCCCAGGTTCATGTGCGTGCATGCACACACGCGCGCGCACACACACACACACACACACACACACACGTGTGCGCGTGCACAGCACAGTACGTACCCTGCCCCTTGTGGTTGACTTCTTTGGCAGCGATCACTTTGTTTATAACAGTCTGAAGGAAGTCATTCTCCCCTGCCACCCTGGGTGAAAAACGGGATGACATGTTGAGCGGCTTGTGTCGAATGGCTTCATCCAACGCGAGCCTGGAGGGCACGGGACAACCAAGACCACAGGAGACAAAGGGCACAGAGACCCAGGGGTCACAGTAACAGGGGGACACAGGGGAGCATCGCCGCGAGTGCGAGAGCGTCGTCATGAGTCAACGCACGACAGAGGGCAGGATAGGTAACAAGAGAAACAGGGAAAAGCATCGATCAGGAAAATGAGAGACGTCAGGCCGTCGGGGTCCCCCACTCCCAGGAACTGGGCCTCTACTCCCTTTGCTACTGGAAGGGGTGGTCGGGAAGTATGGTGGCTCAACTGTGTCTTATTCCAAGGCACGGTTATGGTCATTTCTCCCCCATCGGTAGTCCTGAACAAGCAGAGGACAAGGGGCAGGTTCTGAAGACCCCTACTCATCACCTAAAACCACCTCTGAAACTCAACAGCTGGGGGAAGTTTGGAGCTTTGCCCTCTAGGTCTGTGAGGCTTTTGAAGGACACGTGTGGGAGGGGCCGCCATGGTGGGGACGCTGAAGCCAGGACACCAACTGGGGTGCAAACCCGCACGGTTGTCAGCACCCCCGAGCCAGGAGCCTCCTCAGATGTTGGCTGCGTAAGTGACCGACTCCAACCAGGCCACACGTGCCAAGAGACACGGCATGTGGTGCCATGGCTCACAAAAGGGGAAAAGAAGAAATACCCATGGTGCACGTTAAGTTGAAAATGAATTCTGGACACAAGGGCAGAGATAACCATTGCATCACTCAAGGGAACTGAGGGCTGTACTTCACCCACTTAAAGACAGAGACAGAGACAGAGAGAAATAGAGATGCGCTGAGCTTTGGTTCCTAAAACAAGCCCTATGGGATAATACATCAGTTTTAATGGAGCAAAAATGGTTTCATTAGGCCGACATCTCCCAAGAATGGCTCTGTGGCTTAGGCTGCCATTAGAAATGCGCTGCTCTCTGTGCTTCCAACACTGAAAACATCAATCTGCGTAGGAGTCACAGCTTACGTAAGTGATGAGTGTGTAACATTTTTTAAAGGGGACGATCACCAAAAGATAGAAAGACACAAAGGAGATCCCAAAGACCTTATGCCAGGACTCATAGAAACCATATATCTAAACTGGTAACTTCCTTACCTAAAGCTTTGGGTGATTGTTTATTATTTTCCCCTTGAGTTTTCATGGAGAGAAAACAACAGATAAAGTCAACTTAATGGCACATTGGGGCAGAAACCTTGAAGTCTAATATGTAATATAGCATTAGGAACAGCTTTGGTTCTTACGGACAAGAAACAATAAAGTACGATCATTTTACAAGGATGTATTTTATTTATTACCTCCATGTCTGCCCATGTTCCAAAACGATGTTCCCTTTATTGGCTGAAGAAGCTTCCAGAACCTGCAGAACTGTGTTCCTTTTCCTAACTACCTTCACTGGGTACAATTCCAACACAACATCACCCACCACAGTGTTCCAGTGATGGAGACGGGTTGTGGGTGCTTTGTCCAGCGCTGTAGCCACCTACACCATGGGGAACTGAGCACTTCTGGGGTCGTGGAAGAGCTAAGTTGTTTATCCTGTTCAATTTGAGTTGATGTAAATAACTACATGGGATAGTGGTTAACATACTGGATAAACAAAAACAAGTCGAAAGCTATCAACAGCCTTTGTCTCCTGTTTTGTGTGGTTATATCTGCATACATATATGTATACTTACATATATATAAATATATTAATATATATAACTCAACCCTGGCTTTAGGCTAGGTGATGCAGGGTTTAATGGTATTCTCTTGTCAAGAAATTGCAAAGTCTTCTACCGAGCTACACAGAAAGCCTAGGGCACTGCTGCCCACGTGAGCTGCCTGCAGAGCAAGCCCCGCGGTGCTCTCTACACACAGGTGGCGTCACACTCAGGCCTCGGGGGCAGTCACGAAGAAAGTGTGAAGGAAATGCCACATCCTCTTCCCTATACCTTCCAAAACAGGTGCTTCCGACACCAGCCTCCCGCAGCCCCTCCACCCCCTAAACAACGTAAACATTCTAAAATATCATGGTTTCAAGCCTGCAATCCTTTCAATAAAAACAAAAAGGAAGAGAAAGGCAAGAACACAGACCGCCATGACAGGCCACGTGGACAGGCCACGGCAGCCCGTGGAGTTTATCCCTCCAAACCCTCAGAGCAGGGAGAAGCCGCCTCTCTGCCATCGCCATCCGCTTCCTGAGGGAGCAGTGTTCCCGAGGCTGCCGAGGACCGGCACGCGGGCGGCCACACGTGCGCCAGTGACCAGGAAAAAACAGAAAACCCTCCAACATCCCCATGGGGTCTAGCTTCAAATCAAAGCATCGATTCCACAAATCTTCCCCCAGGGCTTTTCCTGAGTCTTTTGTCCTTTAAAGAAGACTATGGGTCAGAAGTAGACAAAGACTAAAAAATGACAAGCACGTATATGGTCCACTCTGAGTGAAAAACCACGACAGAAAAATTCCGCAGTGTAAATTAGAAGCTTTAAAGTATTATTTCTTGCTCTAACCAAAGAACTCATTATTTTGTTTGGTTTCTGCTCTCAAAGCGGCAAACCCTGTATGATGAATTTGAAAGCATTGTATTTTGAAAATGTGAATTACTGCTACGATAAATCAATTATGTACAGCAACATTTAAAGTTAGATCAGAATTGTAATTCTTGTTCTGAGACAGTAGGTAACTCAGTGAACACAGTGAAATCCACCCCCAGGACCAGGACTCTAACAGACACCAAAAAATTCTATGAGCTGTGGCAGTGACTAGCCAGATTTCTCATTAGGGTAATGAATCCCTCCTTGAGCTCCATGTAGAAACTTCATTACAAGGATGATTACAGGTAGAACTTCCACATTCATTCTATCTGGTTAGGACTTGGACCGCGCCATACTTACGGCTGGAAGGGAATGAAATGCTGTTTATCTTCATCGTCTACTTTTCCATTTATTATATCAGTTACATCCATCACTGGGAACAAGAAAAGAACAGAGGTGGGTTTTGCTTAAATGCCACAATCATACAAAGTCAACAAACAAACAAACAAAAGGAATTCAGGGTCCTCTTCTAGCCAACCACCGTGGGTTATATAGAGGAATTTTCTTCAAGTCTAAATGATTTCTCTATTTGAAGACAAACTCAGTCAACCGAGAACGCTGAGCCCCCATGGAGTTGGAGCTCCAGCCAGCATCACACCGAGAAAGTTCCTTTGCCATCCCTTAGCCACGACTCTGTGCTGTGAAACCCCACAGACAATCTTGGGAAGAAGAAAATATAATCCAGCCATGGCGCCTAAACCTGGGCATGTGTAACTGTACTGATCTCATTCACTTAAGCCTAACTAAGGTACACAGCCACGTGTCACAAGCAGCAACACTCCAATCAGAAGACACCAAGCAAGTAGCCCTAATTTACCAAGGACCCCTCTCCCCTGCCACCACACACAGGTGTCTGTAGAGGAATATGGGGGTGTCATTCAACGTTGGCCCTTGGTCACTTGCAGTGCATCTGAGGAATCTGAAGCTCACAGATAGGAATTGACAAATACCCCGAAGCCGCAGGGCTGAAGGGCCTCGGTGCCCAGCTCTGGATCACTAGGTTAGCTCAGGTGGGCGCTGCGGGGACTGGGCTCCCTAACATCCAGGAGAAACTCTTACATCCCTGATGGTATTCAGGTCCCCCCCCCCCAGCTACTTCCTACCTTCTGGACAAAACATCTTTTACCCTGGGCTATCACAAACGCAGCAAGAAAACCCAAGACTAGCTCCAAGAGAAGACTGGGCATGACCTCGGACTCTGTGTCTTTCCCAGCCCACCTCACCTGGCCCAAGTTCTTCCCCAGTGACAAGCACTGTGTACAGAAAATGTGGACGAATATCATTCCTGCACCACGACCCCTGTCCAAGGAGAGACCCCAAAAGAGGGCAAGCCCCTACAGGGCAAGACAGGATGGCTATGTCCTCTGCTCGGTGTGGAGTGAGATGGGTCATGGCCCCCAGTGAACTAGTGGGACCAGAGACCGGAGAATATACCAGTGTGCTCAGAAACATCCATGTCCAAGAATCCAAAGTGAAGGAAAACCGTGGGAAATGGTCGACCACCAGACAATGGGGTGGAGCGCAGGTCCGACCCTGGTCAGATGCCTGCCCGGCACTGGGCACTCATGGGGGTGGCCGGCTCCACATCCAGCCCCTACCTGTTGCTAAGGGACTCATACACGCAGGCATGCACGTAGCCACTAGTGTAGAAGCATGGAATCGTGCTGGTTTTCACAGGATGCCACCCAAGTGACTGCAGCCAGGACAAAGTCAGCCTGAACCTGGCGCTCCTCTACCCCAGACTGTCTCGACGGCTCATGGTGGGTCTCCTCTCATATCACACTCGCTTGCGGAATCACCAGCGTGAACCCCGGCTACTGATGGAACTCAGTAACTGTGTGTAGGAAGGCAGCAAGTAGGCCTGAAACACAGCCTCAGTTCAAGCACCCACAATGCTGGCCCGCTTTCATCCTGCAAATAACAACAATGCCACAGGCCCAGCCCTGCCCAGCACAAGGCCCGTACACAACACCTCTGATGTCAGAAGACACAAGGGACTCACGGGGACCGCCTCCCAACCAAGGCAGCAAGGTGTCCACATCCAGGTGGAAGACTGTCAAATCCAGTCGCAGCTAGCACAATGGTGTGTGGGAGTGAGAGAGGATGGGCTAGAAAACAACCGCGCAGCATGTGTGGGGAGGAGGAAGGTGGCAGGCGGGGGACAGAGCAAATGGGGAGGTGATGAGGCTCAGCTCAAGCCCTGGGGAAAGATGCATCGCCACAACGTAGTAACAGCATCTGGATGTGGGGCAAGTGAGCATGAGGACCACAGCTCCCCCATCACAGCGATGAGACTCTCTGTGGCCAGCAGAGGGGGATGCTTGGGCTCCAGGGCCCTCACGTCACACTTCCTGCACCACACAGACTACAGAAGTAATGACACAGCCACAGACGCTGCTCCTCCAAACCCTAACCCCGAATCAACTTAACAAAACCAGATGACCCTGAGACACTCATTCTTAGAAACTAAATGGTACATGGCTTCTATGATTGAACGGTGCATCTGAAAATGGTTAAGATGGCAAGGAAAAAGAGACCAAAGAGACAGGAAAAAAAAAATCAACCAACTTTACTAAGCTACAGTTGTTAAATTACATACCACAAACACAGAAAAACAATTAGAAATATATCAGACTCATCACAGGGTACAGCCCTGGCTATGTAGACTTAGGAATGATTTATTTAACAATCTTTCTCCCATAAAATGTCCAGTATCAAATGTACATTATCAAAAGGCTTAGGAGAAAGGAAGGTGATTGTAATCGGAGGGTTTGGGGTTTTGCTGCTGCTGTTGCTGGTTGGTTGGTGGGGAGGGTGTCACTATACTTGGGTTTGGACTCCGGGTTTTGTAGGCATTCTACCACTTGAGCCATACCTCTGGTCCTTTTTGCTTTTGTGATTTTTCTCATCAGGTCTCACTTTTTTAACCAGGCCCAGCTAGACTGGAAGCTTCCTGTAGTATTGGGATGTCAGGCCAACACTACTGCCCACAGCTACTGGTTGAGATGGGAGCCTTTTAACCTGGGGTGGCTTGAGACCAAAATCCTCTCAATCGGAGCCTTCTGGGTAGCTGGGATTACAAGCATGAGCCACAGTGCCTGGCTTTGACTTTTTTTTTTCAATAAGACTAAAACTGATAAGTTTAAAGATCCATGAATATTTTTCTCATTTTAAGGAACTGGGCTCTGTTGACCTAGACAAGCAAGAATCATTCTGAAGAAAGCCTCAAAATTAAATTTGCATGTGGAAATTGGAGCTGCATACAAATAGATAGAATAAAGTACCAAAATGCCTCTCCCCTTCCTCTGGCAGGAATGGAAGGGGGCCTGTGGCAGGAGGGGCCTGTGTGGGAGGGGCCCATGTGGCAGGTGAGGTTCTGTGCAGATACACTCCAAGCTACAGAAGGGAAACGCCCCTTGGGTACAGTGCTACCAACACATAACGAGCAGGCTTGGGTAGCATTTTTGGATTGGATAAATCTGCTTAGCAAAAATCACGAGGAAATGCTCCCCCGCTGTGTCCCAGGGTGACTTCCATTCGGAGGCTGGACACTGAATGAGCAGAAAGTTCAAGCTCTTACTTTAGTGCTCACCACTGAGTGGGTCTCACACAGCAGACGTCTGAAGTCACGGGGGGCAGGGGGTTGAGGACCCCGCCATGGGGCCCAGGATGAATTGAGGCTCCGGCTTCCTCAAGCGCTGAAGAGCCAAGAGAGCAAACAATGGCAAGGCAGCTATGACCAGGAGCAGAGGTCACTGCCCAGAGAACCTGGGAGAGGCCTTCACGTGACCAGGCCTGGGATGTCCAATGGCAGAGAGCGGGGGGGGGGGGGGGGGGGGGGTAGGGTGCGTGACGGGGGGGGGGGGGGGGGGGGGGGGGGGGGAGTGGAGGTGGAGGAGGGGGGCTGAAGTTATGAAGTGAGGCTCTCATGCCAGGCCATGCAGGGAGCTGAGAGAGTCAGGAGAGCTCAGACAGCATCCAGAACAGATGACCAGCAACCTACAGAGTACTGGGTACCAGGACATGAGACAGAAGAAGAAGACAAAGACAAATCCAGAGGAGCCAGCAGTGGAAAAGTGGTTGTAGAGACCAGGAGTTAGGACACGGCTGGCCTCACGGACAGAGACCAAAGCCCCAGGGATTAAACAGAAGCCAGCGTGCCCGCTGACTCCAGAAACAAAGCACTAAGTCAGGGCCATCAGCACTGCCCCACAGCACAGCCTAGGCCAGAGTTTCTGGATTTCTAGACAAGTCCAGGAGCTAGGAGGCTCTGACCCAACGCCAGCCCAGCCAGCAAATATGGGCACAGTCTGACCCTTCATGGGCGACAGTGGCATGCACAGGAATGCGACCATCATCACCCCTGCCACGCCCTTGCACCATCATTCCCTGGGAACATTAAAACTGAACTGAAGAATACTGGGGATAGGGGAACCCCATTTTAATCAAAAAGAGAGGGAAACTAACAGCCTTTCGCCAAAAGCTCATCTTCACTTTAACAACTCCAACGACAATGGCACTCACAGGAATTTAACAACAGTGTGATCTCTCCAGTAATCTAATAACCAGAGGACCACGCACCAGGCTGGCAAGCGGAACAGCTCAGGGATCCTGTCAAAGACAGTAATCCTCTGATTACTTCAGGAAACCTAATACAGCTGTGCCTAAAATAAAACATTTCCTTCAAACTACCCTGCAGATGAGAGAGGGAGAGAATAGAAAATTTCTGCAGAAAATACAGGTGTCTCAACTACCTACAGGGACTTATAGGTTGTGAAAAGTGGAGGAGCAGCTATAAGGTGGGAATTCCAGTCACCGTGAGTGGAAATGTGACTATGTGCACTGGTGCAAGGCCGAAGGAACCCCACAGCGGAACCCCAACCTCCACATTTCACTCACAGCCGGGGAAATCATAGAACGGCCCATTAGACGGCAGCAGCAGTTAGATGGAAGCAGCGTGGAGCAGCCTGCTTCTCTCGCTCACGACGCCCACATCACTGAACCACACGAAGTGGTTATCATTGATTTAAATGACTGGATGTGTTTTTGCTTAAAGTCCACAGGAGCATGGGGGATTTGCAGGGCAGTGGAATGACTTCTGTGCTGAGAGGAGGACACATGGCAGGATTCGCCGCCCCAAACCCACAAAGAAGCACAATGCTGAGCATGACCACGAGCGCAGCCTGTGTCCTCTGAAAGACGGGGACCGGAGTGCCCGCTGGGATGAGAGTTCCCGTGGGAGGGGACCCTCACCCCTGCCCGGCTGCAAGTCCGGCACAGGGATATGAGAACTGTCCGGATCTAAAACTGTTCTGAACACAGTCTATGTAGAAGAGAGAGACAAAAGCCTAACTTCTGAGCTTCTGAGAAGCTCTCATCATTGTGCAGACAAAATATAAAGAATTTCCCCAACCAGCCAGGCACTGATGGCTCACACCTGTAATCCTAGCAACTCAGGAGGCTAACATGTGAGAAGTGTGGTTTGAAGCCAGTCCAGGCAGGAAAGTCTGAACTATCAGAAAACTGTAAGTGGAGCTGTGGCTTAAGTGGTAGAGTGCTAGCCTTCAGCAAAAAAAAGCTCAGGAACAGCGCCCGGGTCCAGAATCCAAGCTCCGTGTCTGACAAAAAAAAAGCCAGGAGTAGTGGCAGATGCCTGTAAGCCCAGCACTCAGGAGGGTGAGGCAGGCAGATCATGAGTTCAAGGCTAGCCAGAGCTACATAGCAAGACCTTGTCTCACAAACAAAAAACAGAAAGAACTGTGTACATGTATGTCTCAAAAAGAAAATCTAAGTAAGGACAAAGAGGATAAGATGGCAAAATCCCATCGCAACTATAAAATAGTGAGGAAAATGTTGGCCCAAATTATGAAAAAAGGAATGACACTGAAATGGCCAGTGACCAGTGTCTGGGGACACTTCTCCTTCATCACGAGATCTGACCAGGATCACACTTTGCTTTTGCTACCACCAAAGATAACCAGGCAGATACAAAGGAGGAAAAGCCTACATTGGGCTCACTGTGCTCTCTCTCTTCAACACCCTCATCCTTGGATGGGGCTACACCATTCCCATCCAAATCAATCTCCAAGTCCAGTAAGGCTGAAACCCTCCGATGCCTGGCTTTCCTGGAAGCTGAGGGAAATGGGCCACAGCCTCTCCCAAGAAAAGATGAAATCTCCTTTCAAACCAAACATTCCTTGAAAGCTCTTTGACCCAAAGCCTCCTGAGTTTAGTAGGTCAGCTTGAAACTATCCAGGAAAAAATACAAAAACGAATACACTTCTTTTTTCTCTCCACCATCAAAGCTTAAATCAAAGCTGCTCACAGTGGAAAATACAAGAACAGCTCTTACTCCCGGCACAGGTGGTGACCTGGCACCCTAAGGAAAAGAAGGAAATGGATTACCAGCCACGCCAAAAGGTCGCCGCAGGCCCGAGGTCAGTTTCCGAGTGTTGCTGTCCCTCAGCTCCATGCGACCCACTCGGACAATCTGACAGACAAAACTAATCTTCTCCCTCTTCAGGTCTTTGCTTCCAAGGTCCTAGAAATATTCATTTCCATAAATTATGATGGAGAACCATTACTCAAGGTGAATACAAGCAGAAAGGAGGGGGAAGACCTGGGCTGGGAGTCTTCTCTCAATCAGGACTGCAGCATTTTGATGCTTGTCAAAGGAAAAAAGGAACCTAAGTGAATTGAGATACAAGTCTAAGGGACATGTTGTAATAGAGAAAATCTTTGTCATGGTAGTATTTTTGAGGGGAAGCACAGTACTGGTTTGAACTTAAGGCCAAGTGCTTGCTAGATAGGATCTTCGCAACATGAGCCACACGTCCAGCCTCCTCTGCTTTTGTTATATTTTGGATAAACTCTCACATTTATGCCCTGGACTCTAATCCTCCTACTTATGTTTCCTACTTAACTGGGATTTCAGGTACAACATACTTAGCCTTTTTTTTTTTTTTTTTTGTCAGTTGTAGGGCTTGAACTCTGGGCTTGGGCACTGTCCCTCAGCAATTCAGCTCAAGACAAGCACTCTACCACTTTAGCCATAGTGGCACTTCTGGTTTTCTGGTGGTTTATTGGAGATAAGAGTCTCATGGACTTTCTTGCCTAGACTGGCTTTGAACCATGATCCTCAGATCTCAGCCTTCTGAGTAGCTTGGATCACAGGTGTTAGCCACCACCGGTACCCAGCTAACATACTTAGCTTTCATTGACTAAGATGAGGTCTTGCAAAGTTTTTTCCCAGACTGGCCTTGAACTGCACTCCTCCCGATGTGAACCTTCAGCTAGGATTACAGGCATGTGCTGCCATACCTGGCTTAGTCACAGGGGCTGTTAAATTTAGCTAGAGACTCCAACTTGGATATAGCTAAGAGTAACCTGTGCTGCGAGGCTCCAAGGCCCATGCACCAGTGAAGAAAAAATCAGAGAAAAAGCTCACTTAACATAGCCATTAGAGAGATGAACAACACAACTAGTCCTGGAGCGTGCACTTACTGTAAAGACAGCTCTCAAATTATGCAGTCTGTCTATGTCCTTGGGTAACCCTGAACTCGACCAGCGAACAAGGTAGTTTTCACTGGAAAAAGGAAGAAGTAAAAGCCAATTAATTTTCCAAATATAACAGGGTCTTAAATGCACATGTACATGACCTTATAATTAATACCATGGAGATCTACTGTAACCACAATTTATAAACTGTGAGTGTATAAACAGCAACAATGTTGAATAGACTAATTCCCCCATGAGCAAATACTCCACACACACACCTTGGCAGGGTTCCATTGAGATTCTTCAGTTATGATTGTAAGGGAACTATTTGCGAACTGCATTTCGATGTTTACAATTTGAAAAGCCTTGTCAATTTAGAATGATAAGAGCATAAAATTCAATACAATGTATATTTAATTCAGAACATAAAACAAACCAAATACAATGCAAATACTATATCCTACATCAGAAAGATATAAAGTCCTTATCAGAAGTGGGAATGAATTCACCCAGTTATTCTGTCTCAGACCTACACTGAGGTTTTAGTCATTGAATAATACAAGAGTAGACACTTGAGTCTTAACTCACACCGACTCTTGCAGACTTCGCATACACTTTAATTAGAATGTCTCCAGCTGGACAAAGAGGACCCCACCAGAACAATGGGTTGCTGCATTTTCACTCTGCAGATATTAATGATGAGTCCATAGGTGGCAAGCACCCTTCCAGACTCTCTATTCCAGCCAGTCGGCTCGGAGAAACATAGCAGTCACAGAAACAACATTCAAAAGTTAGAAAAAGGAAAAGGTGACCTTCTGGTGAATATGGAAATACAAAGTCTTATACAGACACACATAAAACTAAGGATTGCTTCCACCTCCAGCTCACCCCATAAAATATCACAGGGTGTTCCAGGAACTACTGGAATCCAACAACTTTTAAACAGCAACACAGCTGTAAGAAAGCATACTCCACCCAGAGCCCAACCAGCTACCATGCTGGCCAGAAACAGCCCCTCAAGCTGAACCCTGCCTTCCCCAGCACTATCAGTCCAAGTGGACATATGGATGGTTCTGGTGCCATTTGCTTAAATCTAATCAGACACCAAAACTGTGACCGAGGAAGTCACACACCTGATGAACTTGGACTCCGTAGGGTCGTAGAGAGACATGAGGACCTCAGCATCTTCTCCGATCTTACAAACCACATTCTTGAGGTTGACAAACAGGGCCAGAGAAGGGGTGGCCGCAAACTTGGCTTGTCTGTTAATATCCAGGTTCTGCTTCTGAGACTACATGGAAAAAAAAAAAACAAAGACCACATGAGCAGCACTGCCCCTGGGCAAAGGTTCACAGCTAGCCAGCCACTCTCACTGGTGCAGTGTCTCCGCCATCCCCACCACACATTCCCAAACCACACATCCACCACACTGAAAACACAGCACCCCAGGCTGGGGTCGCAGTGCTGTGTACCAGCTAGTGCTGAGTATCCTCGGGGTCACAGAACTGCAGGGAGCAGGAAGGTAACCACAGGAGGAATAGCTTTTTGTAGTTTGGGGGGACCCTCAGAATAAATGACCCACGGACACCATTGTCTCATTCTTCATCATATCCTTCGCATATACCAGATGCCTGATAAGTGCACGTTAAATTAAAAGATGGTTCAGGCAATTCTTAGTGTCAGCCCTGAAGGACAGAGAAGATGAAAAGCTGAGACATGTTCCCTGCCCTCCCCTTGCTTGCCCTCCCCTTGCTTACTCTAGGTTGCCCACTTTCCGCTGTCAGCGAGGAGAGGCTGAACATGGCCTTGTCTCCCACTCAACAGAGGACTACAGAGGTGAGCGTCACTGAGAGCTCGCTGTGTGCATCTGCTCAGGAAGGGAATCCCCTCGCCTCCCTGCTTGCCGCTGTCCCTTCCCAGGCATCATGGGATGCACTCTGTGTACTTCTCCCATTCATGCAGATTCTGGGCTCCCTGAGAAGTGTAGTCCACATGCACACGGCCTACAACAGAGGGGCCAGCATACTTTTTCTTCTTGCAATCGTTCCTCCACTTGCTTAGAAGCTACTTTGTGGGCCCGGAAGAGACTAATGGTGCTTGTTAGTTCTGGATCCAAAATATTCCCATCTTCATCGCGCACCACAAGGTCCAAGTCAAGAATTCTAGAACAAGAATTCACAAATTCAGGGTTACAAACAACATCAGGACAATTTCAGCCCCAGCCACTGAACAGATGAAAATATCTCAAAAAGTGTGGTTTTCAATAACTCAAAATGTCTTGTCATATTTGGGAATTAAAAGAGCAAATGTCTCAGTTTTTAGTTCCATTGCAATAGTGACTTTGTCAATCAATAAGAAGTCTGATACATCTACAAAGCCAAGGCACTGGGCATGAGATTGGTAGAAAGGACCAACAGACAAAGCACATTACATTGTACACCCATACAAAACCTGTGTACATAACTATATATCTATGTTGTCATAATCACATCCAAACTCATGGAAGAGGACAGCTATGTTGCCTGAGAGCCAAGGCTCACACCTGTAGTCCTGGCTATGCAAGACACTGAGATTTACAGATCACAGTTAGAAGCCAGGCCTAGCAAAAAAGTCTGTGAGATCTCTTATCTTTAGTTAACTACCAAAAAGCCAGATGTGGAGGTATGGCTCAAGTGGTAGAACACCAACCTTGAGCAAAAGAGCTAAAGATCAGCACCTAGGCCAGGAGGTCATGCCCCAATACAGGCACAAGAAAGAAAAAAAAAAAAAAGATGGCAGCTGTCACATCATGGTTGGGTTGAGGAAAGAGAGGAGGAGGAAGAGTTGGCACAAAGACACACCCACACATAAACTCCACACCACTGTCTGGTAGGAATCTCAACAAAACTTCCCTTCTGCCTAGCGTCCGTACCAAACCCTACATGGAGCCACCAGAAGACTTACAATAAAGATGTTCCATTGTGTTTGAGCAGGGAACATATGGATGTTATTCACAATTACATTAAGCAACTTCCTGGCCAGATGGCTAAATGCAGTGGCCAACTTAAAATACAAGCAACATCTGGCTAATAAGTCTGTCCATACTACATCTAGAACTATTTTTTTTGGTAAAAGTCTCTCCAATTCCCAAATCAGTACAATTATTATCTGATATTTTTAACCCAACTTTTCATTTAAAAAAAACAAGTAAAAGGAATTATACAAAATGAAGAAATCAAAATTTCTGCCAGGGTGGGGTACTCTGATTTTCTTTTTAGTAGGACAAGTAGATCTTAGAGCAGGAAATTAACCAGAGGCAGCTGATACCCTGCCCAGCTCTTGGGATTATATTTCTACTACTAACAAATCTATAGGAGCAAGGTCTTTTTTCAAAACCATATGACACAAGAAAGTCCTTCAGAAAAATAAACTGCAGTCCAAAGATGTCTTTAACAGTTACCAGCTTAGGAAGAGAGTTGAATCCAACAATAAACATTCCATCACAAGCTAACCTTGCATTTCTCTTGCTGACACACAGCTTAAAGCTAGAGGTGAGACTCAAAAGCAGGTCAACTATGTTTCTTTTTTACTGTTAGGCTGGCACAGCACCATTTGGAAGGTAACTGCAACTGCTTCACTTTTCCAACCAGAGCTGCAGCAGCCTGAGGGTAAACAGACTTGGAACCAGAAAGAGGCCTGAGGTCATTGAGGGCGTGCTGTGAGCGTGGCCAGGGCTCTGTGGGCAGGGTCGGCATTGGTGTGGATGTGGCAGTACTATGTGGGCAAGACAGTACCCTGGGTGGATGAGCACTCTGTGGGCGTGGCCAGGGCTCTGTGGGCAGGGTCAGCATTGGTATGGGTGGGGTCGGAGCAGGGGTGCATCCCAGCATCCTGCATCCTAAAGCCTTTCCAAGTGATTCGGATGAAGATGTGTCCAGATCATGTCTAAGGTTTCCTTAGCTTTGTTCAGCCAGGGCTGGGCACCAGATGAACTGTTTAAGGCTTCCAGAATCATTTGGTCCAACCCTACCACCTACAGTAAATCTAGAGGTGTTTTTCATAGCTACATAAATTAATAATAATTGAATCATAATAATAATGTAAATTTTGAAAGACAAGCCAGGAATTTTCAGGGGAAAAATGTGCCAGTCCTGCAAGAAAAACAAAATAAACGGAGACTAGATGCACCTAGACACATCTTCGTTCTGGTTACAGACCTGACAGAATCGGGGTCAGGGTCTCCTGCCGCACGGGAGCAGGCCCTGGGGGGTAGGGGTAACTGTCTATGCCGGCATTCAAGGGGAGCTGGCTGGCGCCTGCCTTGGGTGGGAGCATTTGCCTGAGATAGTTTCTCAGAATTCAAACGTGGCCGAGCTGTGCATCTGTTTATAGAGTCCAGCTCAACTACCCAGAGGACAAGTTTCATGGTGACCTGTCTTGGGACTCAGAACTGGGGGAGTCCCTGGGAAGAACCCTAGTTCTGAGTACTGCACACCTGGACTAAGGGCAAGTACTACTGCATGCGGAAAAGGAAAGATGCTCCTTGTGGGGAGCTGCCCCACCCCCAGCCTGCGGGAGAGGGGGACACCCCACCCTGGGGAGAAAGAGAGCTCAGGTTTATAGGGCGACTCGACAGTGCCCTGAATGTCAGAACGCAGCGGACAACACCTCACCACTTTCTAAGTGGAAACGTGCCTCTGTTTTGATGTTAGAAATTTGATTTTTTGATGAAATGCAATTGTGGTGTCCTCAGGCTTCTGCCTGCTATTATGCTGGGTAATTTAAGCATGAAATCATCTTTAAGTAAACAAACCTGTTTCCATAATCGATTTTGGCTGTAACCTTCTTCTTCAGCTCTTTGAGCTCATCCTGGGGCAGAGTTCCAGACAGAATCTGTGACCTCCACTCGATGAGGTCGTAGATCATGTGACGGACACTTCGAAACATTTCCCTGTTATCTTGCTAGACAAGAAGGGAAACAAAGGTCATGGAAAAGTTTCTCGTGTAAAATGTTGGATTGTAACACCTTTGAACTACTACTTAAAGACAATAAAAATATAATTTAAAAAAATTAAACAGCATTGTGAAGATCACACTGAACAGATACTTCTTCCAATACATATAATATATACACTATACCATGAGATTTGGTTAGTGTCAAGTTAAAAATTGATTTTAGCTGGATAAGGTGGCTTGTACCTATTAATGCCAGCGACTTCAAGTTGAAGACAGAAGGATCATAGTTCAAGGTCAGCCCAAGCAAAAAAAAAAAAAAAAAAAAACCCCAGTGAGAACATTTCAAATAGAAGCCAGATATGATACATGCCTGAAATATTAGCTAACTGGGAGGAAGAGGTAAGAATATCTCAGTCTGAGTTTGGCCCAGTGCAAAAGCCTGATAACCTATCCAAAACACAACTGACATAAATATATACCAAAAAACAAACTTTAAAAGAAAAAGGCATGCAGGGGCCAGTGCTCTAGTGGTAGAGCACTTGCCCAATAAGTACAAAGCTCTGAATTAAAGCTGTAGTACTGCTAAGAAAATTAAAATTAATACAACTCAGCCTGATTTTAGCAGGAAATAGAGCACATTCTATAAAATTTGATTCTAATGAAGCAATCAAACATTAAAAAGAAGAAGCAGTAAAGCACCACCCTCAAGATGTCATGGGACATTCCCAAGTATACAGCACTGAATCAAGGGGTTGAATGCCTTTGTTCTCTGCCGTTGGGTTATGATCAAGCGTCCTGTCTGCTCTTATCAGTGTAATATCCCATCTTCCTCCATCTGAGGACACTTTATGAAATGGATTTTTGGAGTGAGGAGATGGAATAGGAACTTGTCTGCTCATTGAGACTACTAACCTGGTTCCTCTGGAAACCAAAGCCCTCGGGGGACTTGAAGAAAAAAGAACAGGAAGAAGAGGAGGAGGAAGAGAAGGAAGAGGGACGGAGGGAGAGAGGGATGGAAGGAAGCACAGCAGAACTCAGGTAAGACTCCAGCGTGACCTTGCACATCTGTCATCAGTCAAGGAATAGGCAACACTTCAAGCTCCCTGTGTGCTGGTATCAGCTGCAAGCCCTCCCTTCTTGCTTGTTCCTTCTGCCATTCTTCAGAAGCCCCCGCACCTGGACCCTCCAGCACCCTGGGGCCTGCACTCTGGCCTGGCTGTCAGCAAAGTCTCACAGGGAGCCATCACACAATGGCTGCCTGTGTGTCCTCTGGCCCACACAGCTGAATAGGGCCTGTGCAAAGCCTGGTCTGGAGCCTCCTCCCCTTCTTTGCCAAAGGAAGATGCACACAAGAAAGACAGCAGACTCACACTTCTTCCCACCCAATCTATATTCTGAAGGGATTCATGGTGTTAAGGAAAAAAACAGCTTTGCAATGGGAGTGGCACTATTCACCATTATGGACTCCCTATACAGCCTTTTCATGAAGAGAAATCTAGGTGGAACCTAACTGGGGAACATTTGATTTGCTATAGTCCCGGTAAAAAAAATAGAACATGGGCATCATCATTCGTTTTTTGTTTTGTTTTGAGGGTATTTATTTATTTATGGCAGTACTGGGGTTTGAACTCGGGACTGTGATATTGCTAGAGAGGTGCTTTATCACTTGAGCCATGACCCCAGGGCTTTATATTTTGCTTATTTTTAAATAAGGTCTTGTTAGGCCAGCCTGGACTACAATCCTCCTATTTAACCTCCACAAAGTAGCTGGCACAACATAGCATGGCCATGCTTGGCTGTTTCTGTTGAGGAGACTCCTGAACTTTTTCGTTAAGGCTGGTCTAGAACCACAATCTTCCTGACCTCAGTTTCCCAAGGATTTCAGAGGTAAGCCATCGTGCCAAGTTGTTATTTCTGTTTAAAAAAAAAAATTGTACTGCCTGAATCTGCTGCTCTTGGATTTGAAAACTGATCAAGACTCCTTTTTCTTCTAGGACTTGCTAAGAGCCCTGCCATCCACTCATCACACGGCACCTGGCAAGGTGTTTTACCTCCCATGTGGTGTTCCTTATAACACCCTAATTTTGATTTCTTAAATAAAAACCAGAGAATCAAGTTTAATGATCTACTGCAACATTATGTTCTTTTCCCTCTTCTTTTTTTTAAAAATTTTTTTTTTTAATTCAGGTCTTGGGGTTTGAACTCAGGGCATAGGCAGTGTTCCTGAGCTTTTGTGGTCAAGGCTAGCACTCTACAACTTAAACAAGCAGCTCCACCTCCAGCTTGTTGGTGATTAACGGAGAAGAAAAGTCTGCAGCTCTCTTGGCACAGCTGGCTTTACAATACCCTCAGATCTCAGCCTCCCAAGTAACTAGGTTCACAGATGTGACCCACTGCACCTAGCTCTCTTCCCTCTTCTTAATTCTCCTGGTTACAAAGGTCCATGAAACCATTCCAGCCCCCTTACAACGGACAAGGTGCGTCCATCTGGGTCAAATGTAGGCTCATCGGGGGAAGACAAGGGGTCATTAGGAATGGCCGTTCCAGGACGGCCTAACACCAGCATCTACACATATCAGTCAGCAGCAACTCCTGTTTATTTTGTTGCCATATTTTTGTTTAAAAATTGCAAAGCTGAACGTGAAAAACCGACTATGATATTGCTCAGATTTACACAAAACATTCATGGCTAACTTTACGCTTTTAGGTTTGTTTGAGTCCATTTGATGAACAATTACAGCAACTGCTTATTACCACACATTTATAGGAAACCACTGTATAATCAAAAATGCCGAGCAGCTGTGGGACTTTAGGAAGTTTTCTGTGTTCCTGAAAAATTAACGCACTGACTTCCTCCCAGAGCCCTGGCTTGGTGATAATAACATTAGCATATGAGAAATCAACACTGTGAATAGAAATACGGGCTTAACAAAAGGTAATCTTCTGCAAATATGAATTTATCTGCAAGGAAATGCCCTGAGGGAATATGAAATGAAAGATGTCAGATCTCCAACTTCTCCTTATTAATAGGATTTCTTCCAAAACCAGGAGAACTGGACAACTGAGCACAAAGCCAACATGTACAAAGCTCCTACCCTCTCAGTAACTCACGTAGCTGCATCTACAAAACCAACTACTCAAAACCATCAGAATTATCGGAGGCATTACCTATAGGTAATAGCAAGAAAAAAGAAGAAACATCCCTATTATATTATTATATCCATAAACAAATACTTATTTCTGTTTTAAAGTAGGGGATTTGGGGGGGGGAGTGGGGGAAAGGATTTTGTTATTTGGTTTGTACTAATAATGGAACTTGAATTCAGGGCCTGAGCACTGCCCCTTAGCTTTTGTGTCAAGGCTAGCACTCTACCACTTAAACCACACCTCCACTTCTGGCTTTTTGCTGGTTAATTGGAGTTTCATAGACTTCCCGGCCAGGGCTGGCTTTGAACCGTTAACCTCAGATCTCAGCATCCTGAGAAGTTAGGATAAAAGGAATGAGCCACAAGCGCCCGCACCACTGTATTAAGCTCTGACTAAACCCCCCATTTTCTCACCACATAGAGCTGCCTCCAGATGGCGGCCCACTCCCGGAGCGTGGTGGTGACTTCCTGTATGAGGGGGAGGTCGCCTGGGATGACAGTCTCATGTTGCCTAAAACAAAAGCAGACTTGGTGAACCATAGTCAGCTGCATCGGACAGATCCCCCATCCCAGTCATGGGGTCCAACAGTTAAATGGAAAACAACAACAAAAAGACAAACATGACCAGGTCGACACCCAGAAACACATGTCTCCGAATGCCATGGTCTCTGCACAAAGCTGGAGAGGGTTCCTGCGTGACAATGCAGGTGAGCCATCCACCTTGTAGGGAAGAGAAAGGAGGCAAAGTAACAGCCATGAAAAGACTTCCGAATGTCATGGGAAACCTGACTACCCCTCCACCAAAGACACACCGTAAACTACAACCAGTCTGTGCAGCATTCAGCTGCAGATTCGGGTTAAGATTGTTTTCACCTCACCATCAGGCAGAACACTCACCACATGATAGTGCGGGGGGCAGACGGCCTTGGTGAAATGAGGACTGGGGCCTCCTGTGGGGTGCGCTATCCAGTGTCAGCCCCCATTATCCTTCCCCTCCCCCTCCAAACTAACCCCTGCCTTGCTTTTAACTCTTTAACCATATATGAATCTTTCAAAAATCCAGTGCTTGGGGAGAGCACTAGTCTAGACTGAATCCGCATGGGACCATGTGAGCAACCGGATCTGTGGCTCGTGTCTCTGGGCATCTGGCCCCAGGGACCACTGCCTCAGTGTCCTGACACTGTCCCTGAGTGTGTCCTGAAGAAGCAGAGTCAGCCCGCACGGAGGACCCACATTCACTGCAACTGGTCACCCTGCACAGGCCCACACCAGTGGGAAGGACCACAACGTTGCTGCCCTGCTAGCTCTCTGAATGACTTGCTGATGGAAGAGGCCCTAAGCAAGAAATAGTGGAACCCTGAAGGGGACTTCCTCCCTGGGGAAGACCGTCCAGCTCCCTGGGGAGGGCTAGGCCCCCATGTCTGAGAGCGCTGTGTGCAACCAGCCCTCAGTGCTGTCCAATGGGACTCCATCAAGTCGTCCAAGGCACATGACTGCTAAAATGGCAGCCTGGCCAGCTAGCCGGGATGCTAACGGGAGCGTGGGTGCTTGTGGGCCATCACCTTCCAGGGCCTGGAGGGAGAAGCCTCCGTTGATCAGCACTGCTGGACTACCAGAGCTGGGAGCTCAGTCCTCCTGACTTTGCCCAGGTGGGAGGGGTCATTCCTCACAGCCAAGATGATAGGTAAGTACCACCACACCTCATTTCTTGATTGAGATGAGGTCTCACTAGTTTTTTGCATGGGAACCAATGACTCATTGCCCAAAGCAGCAGCAGGACAACTGTTGGTGCACTGCTCAGTCCCCCATTGATCTGCTCACTCCCCTACACTGGTGCCGAAAGACCGGCTCCCGGTCTTCTGAGGAGGCACGTGTGGCTCCCCTTACCAAAAATCAACCTGCGCTCACATTTATATCTCAAAATGCTTGGAAAAGAAAAATTAATCCAATGCAAGGTGATTTGCATTAGGATTCTGACAGAGACAAATATGAAAGCACATTAAATGCACACTTGATCAGTTCTGTCCACAAAAGAGTCAAAACTTCAAAAACTTTCTCTTCTTCTTCCACTTAGAACTCTGCACACAAAACATTTTATCTGTCTGAAAATAAAACCACCACTGGGCAGGGCCTCACCGCTCCCGCCTCTCAATTGCTTTCTTCATCTTCATTATGCATCGTGGAACTCCAGTCCTTTTTATATGTTAAAAGTACAGTGCTTGGAAAGGCAATTTTGTAATCAGCCAAAGAGATGTCATTATGCAGTAATCATATGATTAGTAATTTTATAATTTACATATTTAACTGAGTGTGAAGATGGAACAGAGACCAAAAAGAAAAACATTCTGATGCTCCTTCTTCCAAATTCACACCTGGCTATTCATTTGCTGTTCCAGTGTAATAGGCTTCCTGGTCTACAAGCATCCTTTTAATGATCTTCTGCATCGGTCTGATGACCTCCAGGAAACATACATCACAATTACTTGAAATGTAAATTCTACCAGACCTCCACTTAACAACAGTAGAGTCCCCCAAACCTCCATTTGTATTATGGAATGCCAAGACTTCTAGAAAAGTGGACGCAGAGGTGGGATGATTACAAGTCCCTGGCCAATGGGACAGAGCCCCAGGGCCAACGCTCCCCAAAACCAACCTCAGGTTCAGTGAGTTATGGTGCTCACCTACTCCAACTCTTGACTCAAGATCAAAGCAACACACTGCACAATCCCCCCTTTCCTTACCAAACATCCTGGGCACCATGCCAGCTCCACCCTGCACCTTATTTCCCAGTTACTTGACCACATATACAGCAGCCACACCAAGCACAATCATTCCAGTTCTTCATTTCTACATCAAGAATGGACTCACCCTTTTCCTTCAACTATTGCTTCTTTAAGATGAATATAAGAAGCAGGAAATATGCCCTTGAGGAAACAAAAAGAGAGAGTTTTTATTATTAATATAAATTCTGACTGCAAATCAGACAATGGTGAGGGTTAGGAATGGCTGGATTTTCATCAATTCTTATGCTAAGCTTACTGTACAACAAAGCAAAGAAAACACAATATAAAATAAACAAGTCCATCAGTTTGTATCTCAAAAAGTATGCAGATGTTGTAAAGAAAACAGAGATGGTATGTATGCCAAGGATTAATTCCACTCAGCTATAGAAAACTCATCTTCTCCCTAGGTTGACTCTCAGCTCCACACCTGATGTCAAGACCCAACTGTGGTGATGTCTGACATCCCGCCCTTGCCAAATGGTGCAAAGCATTGGCCACTGCCTGTGCAACTGACCATTGCACACTTGGGACTTCCTCTCAAATCTCCTTCACAGATTGCCCAGTCTGCTTAGTCATTCAGTGCTCTACATCTCCCAAGCATGATGCACACTCAACCAATATAGCTGTGCCCAAAGAAGCTACACAGGAGATTCAAATCAGACTGCCCATCGTGGGAGGCCATGGGGCTCAGAGGAGGCTGGGGGTGGGGCTGCAGTCCACAGAAAGAAAGTCAAAGACTAAGTGACAGCAAGGAAGATCTAATGGGAGGAAGACAAAAGCTGAGTGACAGCAAGAAAGATCCAGTGGGAGGAAGACAAAAGCTGAGTGACCACGGGATGATCCCAGGGACCCAGCAGAGTTGCTCCATTCACATACTGAGCATCCCAGGCATCCCCAGATCGCAGGACGGCCTGCAGGTAGGTACAGAGCATCTTTCCACCATGCCAGGGGGTGTGTTTGGAAACAAGCTATCCCAGCCCTGCCAGGCCCCAGAGCAGAGATCTACCCACCCAACCTCAGCAAGCCCACTCAGGGCAGAAGACGTTGAATGGCAAGACTAGGTTGGACACACCTGGAGGTCTGACCAGAGGGCATTACAGACCAGCCTAGAACTGCACCCCAGTAAATATATATGCAGAACTGAGAAAGTTGGGATTCTCAGGGCAGGCTTTGTCCCTTCCCCATTACTGCCTGGGAGCCCTTCACAAAACGACAGACCAGGGCCTTGACCTCTTTACCTGCAGGGGTGATTCTAGACGCAAGGCCTAGGCACCCGCAGATCCACAGCTCACCGGGGCCTGTGCTGCCTGTGAAGCCACCGCTCATCTTGGATTGGCAGATCTTGGAAGGGAGGAGCCTAAGTGCATACTTCTTTCTCATCTTCTTCTTACTAAAGTCCCCAACTCTGCCCTTCCAGAAGAAACTCGGGCTTTCTGTTGCAGAAATAGAGCCCTGACTGATTGTACCCAGAGAACCAAACGCAAAAACAACTTGCCTTAGGAGAACTTTCCTCTCCCCTCCACAGAAGCAGCGTGGGGACCACTGGAGGAGCAGAGAGACACACAGCCCTGTCTAAGCTCAGCAGGTCCAGGAGGGAGTCCTTCCCCTAATCTGCAGGTCTGACTGACCACCGCTCATAAGGTGACTTTCCCTCTAAAACATCAACATGGCAGTGCCCTGGGCCCCAGCCTGGACCCTGGGGTTTCCAACCAGGTCACACAGCATGGCTCAGACCTCTGGGCAGGGAAGCGCCCCAAGGCCTTGGCACTGGAGTTATAGAGCCTTATTACGAGCTGGGGACATAATGAAGAAGTCAACCCAATATGGAGACAATGACAGGCCAACTTTAAGAAGTAAAGTGAACCATCTATCAAGTAAAATGAGAGAGTACAGTGTGGAAGTTAATGGGGAGAGCCTAACCACAGCTTAGAATGGACCTGGCTTCGTAATTACAGGATGAAAAGAGGAAGAGCAATAATTAGGTATTTCTGCAAAGCTAAGAACGTTGAATTGTGGATGGGCATGTCCGCCACAATGATGAGAGATGTAATTACATGCCTTAAATGCAAATGGAAAGGACCACGGATACAAACTGCCCTGGAAAAGCAATTTGTTTTTTTGCAACTAAACTTGAGAAGTGTGAAAACTGTCATAGCAAGAAGGAAGTAAGCACAAATGAGCTTTGCAAATTTGTTAATTTATCAAGGACCACGTATCAGGTTGGAAAGCGTCCACCGTGTTTTGTGTCTGAAGTCCTTAGACACGGCTCACTCTCTCTTACATACACACTGTCTGAATAGGATTTGGGATTCTTTGGGACAAGGACACTCCCATTGAGGACCAAAGGCCAACACCACACCACACAACCCTGCAATTCATTCTCAGAATGAAGCTGCAGTTTTATGAACAGTTATTGTTCAGAGGAAAGCACTTCAAGGTCACATATATATATATATATATATATATATATACACACACACACACACTTTAATTCAAGCAAGAGATATATAAGTAAAACTCTTAAGACACCAATGCAATGGAATTGATTTCCTCTCACAGTTTGATTTATGAAGGGACACGCATCGTGTTTAATGGAAAAGACTTACCTTCTTTGACTTTTTCCTTAAGGTGTAGCCTCGGTACCACCCTGAATAAACACAAAGTTGAAAGCGTTAGTTGAAGGAAACACAGTGGGGACCAACAATACCTCTGTGCTGCAAGAACCATCGAAGGACCAAGAAGTCAACAACCCTACGGCCTAAAAGGTGACACCATAGGAAGACAGGCCACCTCCACACGCGGGCCTTCATCACTACCTGCCTCCCTTGGTCTACAGGCCATAACCTGAGAGTTTAGTTCCGAGCAGAGAGCTTGTCCTTTTAACCTGAGTCCCAGTGAGAGACTGTGTGTGCATTTCCCTGCCTCTCCCTCAGCCTTACTTGGATCAAGGTCTCTTCAAGTGTACAAGCCAACATCAGATCAAGAACAGCGCCCAAACAGAAAAGCAATTGAGAACGCACTTCCTCCCTCCTCAGGGCACTTCTGAGGCAGATTCAACCCTCCATAGGAAGCACCAGGGGTAAGCACCCTCGCTCCCCTCCCCATTCCAGGGCCCGCCTGGAGTCAATTTCCCATTCCCTCTGTGAGGTGAGAGGGAAAATACAAGGCAGAGAGTGGAATGAAGAAGGAAGAACTGTTCACAGCAAGTGCTGAGTGGAAGTCCCGCCCCTGAGCCTTGGGCCTCCTTTAGGGCTGAGTGCAAAAATTTGTCGCACCCTGGCATGATGTCACACGGACCTCAACATTCTGACCCGAAGTCGCCCCAGGCACCGCACTGCCAAGAAGCAAATCCCAGCTCTGCCCCCAGAGAATTTATTTCTGTTTGTCTACTTTGATTTTCCCTCCCTGTGTGCACAGGTGTATACAAACACCCGTATGAGGGCTTCAGCTCATGGGTTTTTCACTCAAGGCTGATGCTCTAACCACTTGAGCCACAGCTCCACTCCCAGCACTTTGCTGGTTAATTGGAAATAAGAGTCTCAAGGACTTTCTTGCCCAGGCTGGCTTCGAAGTGCAGTCCTCTGATCCCAACCTCCTGAGTAGCTGGGATGACAGGTATGAGCAACGGGTACCCAGCAACCAACTTCCTTCTGGACAAAAGGACCAAACAGATTGAGGAGGGGGTGAGCGCAGGCACGAAAGCCAGAAGTCAGGCACACATCTGCAGGACTATCTGACCATGACTTTGTCCCACTCAGAGGGTTCAGATGTGCTAGCCACCTCTCCATACTGCTCACAGCAGCAGGAAGGGAGCAGGGATGGTAAACCTAAGCAGTTATTATTCTAAAGCTTCATTTAGTCAATTCAAAGGACTGTCCTTTATCCTGTCACTGCGTCCTTCCTGCATTTGCAGGATTAACATGTCCTTTCTTCTCTGAGAATGACAAAGGATTAATGTCCTAGAATATAAGGAAATGTCACAGAGACAAGAAAAAGTCGGCCACCAAGCAAAATAAAGGAGCAAACTCTCTAAACAATGTTTTGAAGAAACCAAAAAGCTTACACATGCATGAACTTAGAGATGCTCAAACTTAACGAAAAAAAACAGAGAAATGAGATTGTAAAAACAGCATCATTGCATGATTATTAAGAGAGGTTGAAGGGGAGGTTGCAGGAGACAGCAGCCCTGGATCCTGAGGGGAATATGGCCTATAGCTGCTGGTAAGATCACAGCAGGACCTACACCCCCAAAGTGTGAACCTCACACCCAAGACCAGCAACCGCTCCTGGGAGTGCAGCCCAAAAAACAGGAGGAGAGAAAGGACACATAGCAACACCGTCCAGGTGGAAGAAGTGGAGATAGTCTAAGCCTTCCTGATTGAGAGGGTAGTGCACAAACAAGGGACATGAAGAGAGTGGTGTGCAAATGTGAGACACGCACAGGAAGCACATCCTCACCTGGAGCCCTGGATAGGGACGCAGCACACAGGAGCTGTGTTTGTTGGCCATTTGTATTTCTCCTTTATTTTTAGCATCTTTGGGCAGTTGTACAGAGCAGCTACCATTCAGCAAGTCAGTTTAGAAGCACAATGCACCTTGACCAATGTTGCCCCTTTCATCATTCTCGCAACCCAACCCCTCCGCCTCCAGTGTCCTAGTTTCCTAGGACATGTGTGGAATATTAGGACTGCATTCTCTGCCCTGCCTCTCTTCATTCCTCTAGCCCCCTGCTTCACCTCCCCCACACAGTTTTCAAGTGCCAGTTCCCTGGTATTCATTTTGTTGGACTGTGAGTTCGTTTTTCTAAGGACTCACACCATTTGAATTCTACCCTGAAAATACCATACTTCAGCGAATGCATTTGCTGCACTTCTTTCGAGAACTCTCTGCTCTATTCACTTGCCCATGTATTGATTGGGTTATTATTTCTTTGGCTGTTTAGTTTCTTGATCTGTCTACATACTCTGGTTATTAATCCCCTGTCAGATGAATAGCTGGCAAAGGTTTTCTAACAGGGGAGGGGTGCTGGGGATGGAGGGACACTAATGGGAGGAGGGAGGTGAATAGAGAGGGTGAAAGAAGAACTGTCAAAGCATGTTGTACGCATATATGAAAACAGAACACTAAAACCTAGTGAAATTGTCTTAAAGAGGAGGGAGGAGATGAAGGGGAGGAAGGGGAGCAACGGAGAGGGAATCTCATCACGACATATCCACACTGTGCGCAAATACAGACATGGCAAATGAAACCCACTTGTACAACATTAACAGATAACAGTAAAAAAAAGATTAAAAGAGCTGTGGCCATATCTATAATAAAAACATATACACCCCAAACAGGGCAAGAACACAGGTAAACGAAAGTGCAATCCAAACAGAGCAACAGAGCACTGAGTTTCATTTTGCTTTCGAAGTGGGCGAGCTATGGGGATCAAAGCGTGGGAGGCTCTTGGTGAATCTCATTAATAGATGATGGTTTCTTTTGTAATAAGCTTTCTAAGCAAAATGCAAACTACAGTTGCCTTCCCCAGGTACTGTGCATGTGTGGTTCCTTCACCTCTGTGGCCCAGAAATACACAGAGATTGGAGCAACGCCTGCCCTCCACCAGCTCCTGACCTGGAGGGCACCCCAGACAAACAGAGATCACACCACAAGCCACGCTGCTGACAAAGAATGCACAATGAAGTATGGGCATCAAGAGGGGCCACGGCAGGGGCAGAGACTCTCAGAGCTAGTGGAATTTCAGGCTGGCTGACTTCACCCAGGCTAAAGACTTCCACTAGGTAAGCCACCTGCTTCAGCAAACCGCCCCTCCCCAGGAGGCTGGAGAAGGAGGGCGAGATGTGGGCCCTAAAATCAGGGAGGCTCTGTCCAGCACAAGAAGATGGAAGGATATTTTGAAAGAATATCTAGTATTACTAATATTCCTTTTCACAATGTAACGTCACCAGGCTGGAATACTGTAGGTTCGCAGATGAAGGGTAACTTTCAAGCTTGGGAAGATGTCTGCAGCGGCCCTGAGGCACGGCCACCAAGTCCTGGGGGATCCTTATGCAAATGAGGGGGCAGAAAGCCTGGCATGGCCATGGTGGAAACAAGAGCACTTAATAAGCACCTGGAAGTTGGCCTCATGCCTCTGGTCTGGACAGTGGGAACTGTCTGAAGGAAGGAACCTAAATGGAATGGCCCCTCGAAAGGCTGTCCACCACCACCATAAACTGGAAGCTTTCTCTAATGTATGCTCTAAGCCTTCATGAGCTCAAGAAAGAGCAATTCACTACAACTTGAAGGAAGTGTGTTCTCTGAACCTTATCTAATAGACTGATTAACAAAATAAATGTAAAGAGTAAGAAAGCCACAGAGGTGGCAGTTCTAACAGTCACCATTTGGAATCTACATCCTCTGCAGCAAATTGTTGACAGTCTGAAAGGAGCACAGAGACAAAATAAGTTATACCAGACACAGTGGCCAGTGGCGCACACATGGAATCCAAGTATTCAACAGGCTGTGATCTGAAAATGTAGGTTCAAAGCTAGCCAGGACAAGAAAGTCTATGAGACTCTTATGTCCAATTAACCAGCAAAACGCTGGGAGTGGAGCTGTGGCTCAAGGGGTTAGAGCATCAGACTTGAGTGAAAAACCCATGAGCTGAAGCCCTCATTCGGGTGTAGGTCACACCTGAGCATACAGACATGGAAAATCAAGGTAGATAAACAGAAATAAATTTCTTAGAGGAAACAGAGGAGAGGGGAGAGGAAAGAGGGTACAAGCCAAACTCTAAAAACCATCAGCAGAAGATGAGGAAGACACCGAAAGCAATCAGAAGTGCACTGTTGTCTTTAGTGGATGATGATAAAAGTCACCAAGTTTCCCAACGGTGAAATGAGTTCCCTAAATCTCTTTCTCTGAATAGAATCTTGGTGAAGTCCAAACAAATCAGCTGTCAAGGAAGGGAAATTCATTTCATACTGCAGAGTCTTTACAAAGACCAAAATGTCTTAATCAGAATCTAGAAAAACTGTCCCGCCTACAAACACATGTTCACTGAAGACCCCAGTGAAAACCTCTTATCAGGATGTCAGTCTACTAAATGTCAAATGCCACCATCAGATTATTTTGAAGTGTCTAACAAGACTTGTAGATGTGCCCAAAGGTGGCACTGTCAAAAACAAAGAAGCCAGTTCCTTGTCATAAAACAAAGGACAAGACAGGGCACCCCACAAAACCAGGCACCACAGGAAAGCATTACCTAGTCAGGGATGACATCACTAGCAGTGGTCAGGAGGGGTGATTTCAAGCTTAACTGACAGATAGCAGAGCATTGCCCTTCTGATGAGAAGAGTTCTGAGATGGGAAGGCTGACCCTTCATCTCTCCTTAATTTCTCTGTATCCTTGCCACTGGCAATATGTATAGAGAATAGATAAGAAATCCAACTGTCAACTGTCAAAATAGAAGATGAGCAGAAGGCGCCCCCGCACAGCGAAGGACTAGCTCTGTTTCACAATGCCACAAGGTCGATTCTTTTTTCCAGACAGGAGTTTTTCAGGGTAAAGGTGCAAATGGACTGGAGTTCTCTATGTTAGACTACATCCAGTGGATAAAATAAGGGCCAAACCCAAGGGTATTCTCCTCAGTCTGTGCATGCTAGCCCTGGCTTGCCCAGCCTGAAGAAGCTGAGCCTGGCTCATCTCTGTGTAAACAGACTTCACAGGCCTCTCTGGAAATTCAATTTGTTGATTATTATGGGATATCTAAAATTTCCTGGGCCACTTAGAATGTTTTAGCTAAAATGTGGTCTAAAAGCAATTTGGTTATTTAAATTATCATTCTTAATCAGTTCTTTTTATTCATACGCTATCTGGGAATCGGCCCTTCAAACAGAAAATGAAGCCAAGCACAGAAAACACCATCTGAACAAAACTTCCAGATCGTAGCAGTGCTTAAAAACGAAATGGCTGGGAAGGTAGCTCAGTGGTAGAGCGCTTGCCTTGCATGCATGAGGCCCTGGGTTCGATTCCTCAGCACCACACAAGCAAGAAGAAAAAAAGCCGGAAGTGGCGCTGTGGCTCAAGTGGTAGAGAGCTAGCCTTGAGCTGAAGAGCACCCAGGCCCAGAGTTCAGGCCCCACGACCTGACCCAAAAGAAAAACAAAAAATGAATAAGCCCATCACCGCATCCCTCGTATGTGATAATAACCTCAGAACAAAATGAGAAATGGTCCGCTCATTGCAAAAAATTAAAACATGAAAGTGAACTGCAGAACACTAGAAAGCCCCTGTGATCAGTAGTGCATTTACTGAGTAGCTTAACAACTGATTCATTAGGCTGCATCCAGGTCACTATGACAATCTATTCAACCCAAAGAAAATGGGAGTCACAGACTATAGGAAAAAGGAAAGGGAACAAACAAAAAATGACATTCTTGTCTCCCTTGAGAACTACTGTTAACAAATCAAAGTGACAGCAATAAGAAGAAATCTCACAATTCACATCAACACTTCACATCAATGAACTCAAAATCGAAGTATCTTCAACCCTGTAATCAAGTGCTCAATTATTAGCCATCAAGCTTCACATACACTTATAACATGAGGAGAGAGTGGAAGAGTTATTTTGGAGGTTCAAAATGAGAAACCTTTAGTAAAAAGTTGATTTTAATAAATGTTTAAGTAACAAAAAAGAAAAAATACCTGAAATGAGCAAATCTGGAAAAGGCTGATGATAACAGACATAGTCTGTGTGTATGTGTGTGCATGTGTGTGCTGTTGTATGTGCATGCATGTGTGTGTGTGTGTACATGTGTAGCCGGGATATGCTCTCCCCAGCAGGTACAGAAAGAGTAGCTCAACCTCCCAAAACAGTAGAGGAGTCATCGAGACAGCACGTACCTTCATAGGTCTCAAGGATGTGCACCGTGTCCCCTATCTGCAAGGAAAGTTCGTCTGCTCCCCTGGCATCATAGTTATAGAAGGCTGTCAAGAAAAGAAAAAACAAAAACGATTAAGAAATATGCTAATCGGAGTTGGCAGGGCTGTGGTAAGTTGCATCACTTGTCTTCACTGCTGAGACATACCAGGCTGTTGCCTGTACGTCATAGCGTGGCGGCGGCAGCGGCGGCGGCGGCGCCTCCTTCCAGACACAGGAACGAGCCATTACATCAGAGAAATTCAAAACCACTCAGAGTCCCAGGCAGCCCTGATATTTGTTTATTGTAGCAAAACATATAGAAGTTGTGAAATGTGTTACTTGAACCATTTTAAAGTGTATAATGCAATGGCATTAATTACACTCACAACATATAGCAACCATCGCCCTTAATTAGTTCCAAATCCCCACCCCCAACAGAAATCCTGAGCCCACCACACACCCAGTCCCCATTCCACCCCAGACTCTGTTATACCAAGATCCACACATCATCCTTTATGCCATCCCATATAAATGAACATTTCCATCAGGAAGAAAATCGCAGCCATTGTTAACAACATCTTACTGGTCACTTCCTATACCCTCCTCTATTTCCATTAAGAGAACTCTAAATTCTCTGAGTGATTTTGCCCATGGAATAAATACTTTGAAACTAAGCTGATACAATAATCACATAATGGACACTGGTGGGAAATGTTACAATCACAGTAGACAAAATGTCAAAGTTAAAAGGAAATCTCTAGCGGTTGAGGGATGTCTCAGTGGCAAAGCTTGGTCTCACAGGCTCAAGGTCCTAGATTCAATCCCCAGCACCACAAAGACAGACAGAAAGAAGAGAGGGGGTGGGGGAGGAGAGGGAGAGGAAGAGGAAAGGGGAGAGGGAGAGGGGGTGGGAGAGGGAGAGGGGGAGAGAGAGAATGGTGATAGCTAAAGATAAAGATAAATAAGATAGATGACTGATAGATACAGATAGACATAGATAAGATAGATGATATAGATAGACATAGATAAGATAGATGATAGATGGATAGGTGTCCTTAATGTTGACAATAATATTCAGAAAATGTCTAAAAACGTCAAATGTTTATCCTGGTATACAGCTATTACCAATTTGCAAAAATGCCACATTGCTCTTAGCTAAGCACCTAAGAATTACATCAATAAATATAACCACAATTGTTCTCAAGCATCTTGAGAAAAAAGAAAAGTTACTTATGTCAAGGATATAGTATTATCTCAGACCCAAAAACGCAGCCCTGTGGGCTTGTGTGCATGCGAACATGCACACACGCACACACACACACACACACACATGTGCACACACACACGCACACACGGCAATCCCTCCAACACAAATCATTGTACTTAGAAAGATGCACCATTTATTGTAAAACATATCTCCAAATCCCAATGAATTCTTCATCACCCATCCTGAGAGACTGAGAGACGGATATTTAGCCTACTCCATAGAGATACATAGCAGCTCTCTGGAATGTGCTTCCCGTGTCTTATAAGGATAAGCATCATCATGTGCAAAACCTCCAAATGTATGAATGGGCGCACGTGCACACATACACACACACATACACACACACACATGTGCAAGTTCTCTCAGCACATGGGCTCACACACCCTTGAAACATGACTTCCAGATGTCAAGTAGCAACTTAAAATGGAATTTCTTTCAGAAAGTTGACTCGTGAACGTGGGTTACTCCCTCTGCAACCTCCTTCCCTTTGTCTCATCAGCAGTTGGGAAGGTCTCCTGTGGAGATGGACCACACCCCACAGGAAGAGGGCCAGGGCCTGTCTGAGCTGAAGCTAGGAGCCTGACCTTGAACTTCACAGTGTTTGCCTGGTCTATGCCAGCGGCTTGCTGCTCAGACACTCAGTGCTTGGACAGGGGCTGCAGAGGGGAGGGGAGCCAGACAGGTAAGAGCCCAAGGGGGCAAAATTAACTCTACTCCTGGAAAACACTGAGCCATTCAGGAAATACTGAGTAGGAAAAATCAGAGCATTCGACACTGCCTTTAAACTTGACCCATGGAAGAGGCCAGGCCTCCAACCCCAGGGCTTGGTGAAGCCAGAAAATGAAGTCCACTGTACTAATGTGAACGGCTCTGCTGCCAGCACAACCAAGTCCAGTGAGAATAACCACAAAGGGAAGGACAAAAGCATCAGACAGCACTGGCAGTGCCCACTTAGAATAGGAGCCTGGGTTTCCTAAACTCCATGTTCTAAAGAAAAGTGGAAGCCATACCCTTGGCATGTATTTGCCCCAAATCATACTGGCAGACAGGGTGAGCTATGGAGATGTCTCCAGAGCAAGGTCACCCCAAATCAGAGCAACTACTCCCTCACAAGCAACCACTCCCTCACTGCATCAACTCCCCTGGATTCTGAGCTCATCCAGCACAAAACTCCTGTCTTATTTCTTCCATGGTTCTATAATACCTGGCACACAGTAGGTCTCTAAAAAGAATGGAAGGACAGGAAGGAAGGAAAGAAAGGGAGTAGAAAGAGGGGGAGGGAAGGAGAAAGAGTCTAAAGGTCTGGTACTAGCTGGGCGCCATTGACTCATGCCTGTAATCCTAGCTACTCCGGAGGCTGAGATCTAAGGATCTTGGTTCAAAGCCAGCCTGGGCAGGAAAGTTCGTGAAACTCTTATCTCCAATAAACCACCAGAAAACCAGAAGTGGCGTTGTAGCTCAAGTGGTAGAGAACTAAGAGCTGAAGGACAGAGCTCAGGCCCAGAGTTCAAGCCCCACGACCTACCAAAAAAAAAAAAGTCTGGCTCTATTGGTACCTTTCAAAGTATAGTCTCTAATATGTTGGGGGCCGGGGGATTAATTTTATCTATTTTCCTATATTGTACAAAAGGGGTCTCTAATATGCTTTTACAGGTAAATTTTTTTAAACAATGAAATTATCAGGAATAAAGTTAACTAAGAAAGCAAGGATTAGACAATGAAAAGCACATGGCACTGCAGAAGTAAATCAAGACGAGTACACATGGAAAGACATTCACATTCTCAGGGCAGAAGACTTAATATCATCCAAATGTCATCGCCATCCAAAGCAATCTATAGATTCAATGCAATTCCCACCAAAATCTCAATATTTTAAGAAGAAATGGGGAAATCCATCACAGGTCCTAGAAAGAACCAAAACAGCAATGAAAAAGATCACAGTTAAAGGTCTTACACTTCCTGACTTCAACACTCACCACAAAGCTGCAGAGATAAACTACGGTAATAGCAAAGAGACACATAGACCAGAGTCACGGAACTGAGCCCAGAAACAAAGCCCCACATAAAAGGTCAAATGGCTTGAACAAGGTCTAAGACCAGTCAGTGTGGAGAATAGACTCTCTGGAGGATGGTGCTGGAAACCACTGGACCTCACATCATTCACAAAAATACATTCTCAACAGGGGAAAGAATTAAACGCAAAAGTAAAAACTGCACAAGTCTGAGAAGAAAACATGGCAACAATTCTGTGGAGACTGTGAGGCCCGAATGGGACCTGTCCTTATCTTGAGGCCCCCAACCAGTGCCTTGATTAACAACATTCCGGCCTTCCCCTCTGTCCCTGACCAGATGAACTCATGTGATTGATGGGGACCAGGCAAAAACTTTACTGGCAATTAGGGCCTTGAGCAGATACCCCTGCCTGGCTCCCTGCCTGCTTCCTGCTGTGCCCTTTTCCCCACCATTTGTCCCACCATTAATTACTTTCAGACCACCACCTCCAGACAAATCTAGCCTTCCTTCAGACGCACTATAAATACCTCAGACGGCAAGCAAGGAGTAAGCCTCTTCCTGCCAATAAACTAGTGTGATGGTGTTGAGCCATCTCTTTGTCTATCCTCTCTCATGACTGTCTTTTTTATAACCTAACAGATATAATACCAAAGATATAAGCAACGAACGGTAAATCTAAGCCAAACTCCATCAAAATCTAAAACATTCATTCCTTAAATATACTATTCACTGAGTGACAAAGCATCCTACCACATAGAAGATAATTATACAGCATATACTTGATAAGCAATTGTTATCCAAAATAATAAAAAGATTTCTAAAAATAGGGTGCTGGTAGATCAAGCCTATAATCCTACCTACTCAGGAAGCTGAGATTTGAGAATCAAGGCTCAAAGCAAGCCCTGGCAGACAAATCTGAGAGACTATTGCCAACTAACCAGCCAAAGCAGGAAGAGTCAATGGGGCTAAAGAAGTAGCTAGGATTGCATATGTGAGGCACCAGTACCCAGCAAAAATAGATTTTAAAATGGACAAAAACTATTTTGAGTAGACATCTCCTTCTCCAAGGAAGATACATAAGTAGCCAATAAATGCACAAAGCAATTCCTACCCCTCAGGAGTATTACTGTCAACTTCTACACCAAAAAATCAATGCATAAAAGTCTTGGTGAGACCATGAAGAAACCACAATCCTGGAGCTGGGAGGTGGCTTAGTGGTAGAGCGCTTGCCTTGCATGCATGAGGCCCTGGGTTCCATTCCTCAGCACCACATAAGCAAAAAGAAAAAAGAAAGCCAGAAGTGGTGCTGTGGCTCAAGGGGTAGAGTGCTAGCCTTGAGCTGAAGAGCTGAGGGACAGAGCCCAGGCCCAGAGTTCAGGCCCCATGACCAGACCCAAAAAAAAAAAAAAAAAAACACAATCTTTTATGCTGCCAGCAGGATGGTAAAATGGCGCAGCTGCTGTGGAGAAGGACAATTTACCATGGGATGCAGCAATTCTGCACTTGGGTATAAGCCCAGAAGAAGAGAAAGCAGATACATGCACACCCCGGCTGGTGCTGCATGAGTCACCAGAGTCACCAGAGCCAGACGCTGGACACAAGCCTAGCAACTGTCCACCGATAGACAAATGGATAAACAGAACGTGAGGGAAGCATACAATGAGTGTCACCTGGCCTAACAAGGAAGGAAAGTGTGACACATTTTACAATGTGAACATTATACCAAGGGAAACAGGTCAGTGACAGAAAACACTGTATGATATCACGCTGAGAAGGTTCTTATGG